ATTAACGAATTGCAAGTTTATGTATACTATATATGGATTTTAAGATGTGTTTGATAAGATGCTCTATGAGACTGGCTGAGAAACAAAATCTAAGATCATGACATAGTCATCAGGCAGGAAGTGATACCATACATTTTGAAGAAAGGTTTCTGACCTGCTCATTAAACTCAAACATCCTTTGTAAAGTATTGAACAGTGGGGCCACCCCATTCAGCAACGTTATAAGTGAGGTTTGTTGTTCAGGCATTTTGAAGTGCTGCTTTGTTGTTGTAATCGATGAGCTGGTCTTGTCTCAAAGTAGCATCTAATGCAAAATAACCTTTTATGGAAGAAATGAGTTTGATGAAAGAGGAACATCCTCCGAGATTTTCAAAGCGAAGGGCAACCCCTGGCTCCTGTTCTCCACCACCAACTGGCTCCTCCACCCTCCCCTCCACGCTGTTCTATCTTCCCACGCTCACCCTCACCCCGCTGAAAGACTGGTCCACACCTTTATCACCTCAAGGCTGGACTACGGGAACTCTCTCCTCATCGGCCTTCCCGACACCTCCCTCCACAAGCTGCAGGTCATTCAGAACTCTGCAGCTCGTGTACTGTCCCGCACCAGGCTTCGGGACCACATCGCTCCCACCCTCGCTCACCTCCACTGGCTCCCCATCCCCCAGAGGATCGAATTCAAGATCCTCATTCTCACCTACAAGGCCATTCACGGCCTTGCTCCCTCCTACCTCTCCGACCTCTATCCCCCTACTTACCTGCCCGTACCCTCTGTTCCTCTGGCTCCAGTCTTCTCCACACCCCCCACAACAACAAGATTTCATTTATAGAGCGCCTTTCACGTCGGGAGGACGTCCCAAGGCGCTGGACAGTTGGATCGGGAACCGAGCAGGGGGAAAATGGTCAGGGTGAGGGGAGGGAAGGGAGGGAGCGAGGAAGGGGGAAATGGTCAGGGTGTGGGGAGGGAAGGGAGGGAGCGAGGAAGGGGTAGAGAGTCGAGAGGGGAGCTGAAGGCATGGTTGAAGAGAAAGGTCTTGAGACCGGTCTTGAAAGAGGAAAGGGAGGAAGCAAGGTGAAGGCACTGGGGGATGGAGTTCCAGAGCCTGGGGCTGAGAGGCTGAAGGCCCGGCCACCAATCGTAGGGCGGTTAGGACCTATCATCAGGCAGGTACAGGCACTACTCGCCGACATCATCAACCTCTCCCTGTCTTCTTTCTATCCCCCTCAAAACAGCCACTATCACACCGACCTTGAAGAAACCTTCCCTTGACCCATCACAGCTATGCAGCTACCAGCCCATCTCCCACCTCCCTTTTCTGTCTAAGGTCCTTGAGAGCCGTCGCCTCCCAGCTTCGCTCTTTTCTCTCCTCCCACTCCCTCCATGAGCCCCTCCAATCGGGTTTCCGTGCTGCCCATAGCACGGAAACTGCTCTGGTCAAGGTCATAAATGACATCCTGACCATGTGTGACCAGGGCTCCCTCTGCATCCTCGTCCTCCTCGACTTCTCTGCCGCCTTTGACACCGTGGATCACTCAATCCTCCTCCACCGCCTCTGCTCCCACCTCAACCTTCAAGGTTCTGTACTTGACTGGTTCAGGTCCTACCTTTCACACCATCTTCACTTCATCTCTTCACTTCTCTTCGTCTCGTTCGGTGCTCCTCAGGGCTCTGTTCTTTGTCCCCTCCTCTTCACCCTCTACATACTCCCCCTTGGTGACATCATCCACAGACATGGGGTAAATTTGCACATGTATGCGGATGACACCCGCCTCTCTGCCTCCACCCTGAACTCCAGAACTACTGGCGTCCTGACCGACTACCTGTCCGATATCAAGTTCTGGTCAAGGGACAACTTTTTCCAACTGAACGTCAGCAAGACTGAGGCCTTCCTGATAGGCTTGCGGTAGCTCTTCCGCACCTCAGGCGCTGGCAGCATCAGCCTTCACAGCTGCACACTCAACCTCACTAAGCCTGTCAGGAACCTGGGTATCTTGTTTGACCCTGAACTGTCCTTTCTCCCCCACATCCGCACCATACCAGCACTGCCTACCACCACCTCCGCAACATTGCCAGTCTCCGCCACTGCCTCACCCCTCAGGCTGCCAAAACCCTCACCCACGCATTCGTCACATCAAGGCTCGATTATGGGAACTCCCTCCTCTTCGGCCTTCCCAACTCTTCCTTCGCAAGCTGCAGATCATTCAAAACTCTGCAGCTCATGTACTCTCAAGCACCAGGCTCCGTGTTCCCCATCACTCTCACCCTCGCCCGACTCCACTGGCTCCCTATCTCTCAGAAGATCGAATTCAAGATCCTCATCCTCACTTTCAAGACCATCCATGGCTTTGCCCCCTCCTATCTCTCTGACCTGCTGACTCCTTACCAACCTGCCTCTTCGTTCAGCGGGCTCCGGCTGCTCCATGTCTCCCGCCTGACCCACCCTACCATCGGTGGCCGAGCTTTCAGCCTCTCTGCCCCTACACTCTGGAACTCCATCCCACAGTCCCTTCGCCTCGCTTCCTCCCTTGCCTCCTTCAAAGCCGGTCTCAGGACCCTCCTCTTCAATCATGCCTTCAGTCGCCCTCCCACCTCTCTGCCTTCCCTCACCCCTACCCCACCCCTCCCCCATGCTTGGGTTCTGACCCCTGACTATCCAGCACCTTGGGACCTCCTTCCGACATGAAAGACGCTCTATAAATGTAATTTTGTTGTTGTCGAACAAATCTGAATTTGTGTCCTATAGTGCAATAAATTAGAAATTCTTGAGTACAGAGAAACGTTCTTATCAACAGTAGCCAGGCCTGCGAGGTGTGACGCCTCCATGTCTATCCCATCCCATGGCTGGTAAAGTAAGTGTTGGATGTTAATCTTCGTAAAAACGATGTCTAGGCAGAGAAAGATATGTACTGGTAACAACTGCACAGGTGAGCAGCCTTTGACTAAGACTTTACTTACTTACTTACTTATTTACGGATGAAAATAAAGAATGTTTTCCTTAAAGCATTGTGTTCTCCCTTGTACCTGCTATACAATTCTCCTCATATACTTACGCCAACATATACCAGGTGTAAAGCATCCATTTAAAACAGTATAAAATGATGAAATTTGAAGTGTAAAATAATGGTGGGCTGAATTTTGCCCATTAATCAACAACAACTTTCATTTATATAATGCCCCTCATGCAGGGTAGCATCCCAGAGCACTTGAAATGAGGTCCAATGCAGATTTTCACAGTGATATTGTGGAGATTGTTATGCCACAAACGGTCTGTGCACTTTTGCTAGTATCTTAAGACGGTTTGTGTTATTTTGTATTATTGGTAATGGATGTTTCGCAGATTGGCTGGGTGTAGTTAGTGAGTTGTCCTGATAAGATTTGTACAGTTTATTATTATTTTCATCATTATTTTCTACAAAACTATTACTTTCCATTCATATTAATGATTTGGGAAAAAAAAGCAAGAAGAAGGGGGTAATTCCTAAATTTGCTGAATTTCTAAATCCTAAATGAAAGGAAAAAGAAAGGAACTGGACCTTACAAGGTTTTACTGTTCAATTTTTTGTAGTTCTTAAATATTGTAGAGAAACTGATATATATATCTTTAGAGATGGTAATGCAGGTAAAAAAAAAAGCTGTCAAAAGGCAAATACAATTCTGGAGCTTTTATATACGGCAGCATTAAATACATAAAGTTAATCAAGACTTTGGTTAGGTCACAGTTGCCGTGTACAGTTTTTCGTGCCCCCTTATAGAAAGGACATCAGAGACAAGGAATAATGTTATACCGAGGTATTGTATAACAACAACAACCAGGTTTCATTTATAGAGTGCCTTTCACGTCGGGAGGACGTCCCAAGGCGCTGGACAGTTGGGTTGGGACCCGAGCAGGGGGGGAATGGTCAGGGTGAGGGGAGGGAAGGGAGGGAGCGAGGAGGGGGCAGAGAGTCGAGAGGGGAGGTGAAGGCACGGTTGAAGAGAAAGCTCTTGAGACCGGCCTTGAAGGAGGAAAGGGAGAAAGCAAGGCGAAGGCACTGGGGGATGGAGTTCCAGAGCCTAGGGGCTGAGAGGCTGACAGCCCGGCCACCGATGGTAGGGCGGTTATTTAATTGGATAAATTCACAAGAAAGATATCAGGAATGAAGGGTTATTGTTGCAATAAAATACAAAATAAAATTTGCATGGCGCTTTCGACGTTGGGAGGACGTCCCAAGGCACTGGACAGTCAGGGATTTGGACCCCAACTGGGGGTCGGAATCAGGGAGAATGGAGGGCAGCTGAAGGCTCGGTCGAAGAGGGTTTTGAGACATACCTTGAAGGTATGTCTTTTGTTACCATGAAAAACTGGTGTCTATTTTCACTGGAACAGAGAAGGAAAATAGGGAATCCAGGAGAGGTTGTCAAAATTCTAAAAATATTTTGGGAAGATAAATAGTGAAAGCTGATTCATGCTGATTGTTTAATAAGGACAAAAACACCAGATTGTCACACTGAGGGGAATTGTGCTGTGTCTGAGTTTGAACTTGCATTGGGTTTCTCTAAGTGGGAACGTGTTTCTTTTCTCAAGCACTAATGTCCCTTAGGGTGAATTGGCCAACATTCACCAAAGATTTAAAACAAATGCTTGAGTTGGTTAAAAAGAGTCAAAAGGGTACAGAAGCGTTTACACTGGGCATTACCTGCAATTGCTCTTTTTACAGACTGCAGAACTCATTTTCTATTTGTTTCGGGGAAAGTCAAAACACAAAGCCGATGGTTCCACAAAGGATTACACAAAAGCAACAACAACAAGATTACATTTGTATAGTGCCTTTCACGTCGGTGATTACAAAAAGTTAAAGGAGGATGCAGTTCTTCACGGTGGTGGCCTGACTGCAACAAGCCAGTAAAACAATAGTAATTGCAATGGTTCATGTTGACGGTTTTTATTTACAATTTACAAAAAAACACATCTAAAACTTTTTGTTGTAAATCCTCTGACGTGTTTCTTTTTTTCTGGTTTCAGATCCCCATTTCCTCCCTCATGTCCTTTGTTGAAGCTCTGGAAGTCGGATACAATAAACATAAAAATCCATATCACAATTTATTACATGCAGCTGATGTTACACAGACTGTTCATTATCTGCTGCTGAGAAGTGGTATCATGGTAAGTTTGACCGCAATATGTGCAGTAATTGTGCAGTTTGTTATTACTTGCTCAAAGGATAAGTATTTTTAATCCCTCCGCACCCAAGATCCCTATCTCTCCAATCTTCTCTTACCATAGTCCCCTGCTGCCCCTCTGCTTGGCAAACTCGGGGTTGCTATTCATCCCCCGCCCTCTCATTATCACTATCGGTGACTGAACCTTCAGATCCCCATGCCTCTAACCTCTGGAAATCCCTCCCTTTAAGTTATGCCTTAAAACCTACTTCATTGAATGTGCATATGACCATCTTCCTCTTTCTCCCTCACCGTCTCCTTTGCTCAGCATCCTACCCGTCCTTGTAAAGCACTCCAAGCCATTGCATTACGAGAAGGGCATGATGTAAATGCAAGGTGCCATTGCAATAAAAAGTGATGGTTAGTCTTGTGATTTCAGTCTGCTTTTGTTCAGGGAATATTGCTGCCAGAGCATAAATTTTAGGTAGTTACGAAAATGTGCAAAGGCAGAGGTTAGGAGATTTATTTTTACACAGGGAGTTGTTTGAACAAGGAATGCCCTAACTGGAACTGTGGTTGAACAGAATCCCTAGCTTTTAAAAGGGGATTAGCTTATCAAACAGAAAGGAAAAATATAAAAGGGTTTTGGGGGAAAAGCAGGAGAATGAATCTAAATGGATGGCTTTGTTCAGAGATAATAATAATAATAATAATAATAATCCTTGCATTTGATATAGCACTTTTCAGCGCTTTACAGAACACACTGTAAAGTGAATTGACTGTATATTTGTGGGCGAACGCGGCAGCCAATTGCGCACAGCAATGTCCCACAAACAGTCGTAGATTGAAAATGACCAATTTATTATTGTTTTGGGTTTTGGAGAGATTATTATTAGGCGTGTGGAGTAAGGAAACTTGCCCAAGGTTTCGCAGGGGAGTATGTGTAACACAAGCATGATGGCTGAATGGTATGCTTCTCTGCTGTGCATTTCTATGGTTCTTTGTTTCACTGCTGCCTGAGTAATGCAAGCAACCTCAGGTAGATTGCACATAATAGCATTCCAAGCTTGCTTTCACCTCAAAAATGAATGCTTTTCCTCAGCATTATATATTTTCTCTTACGTCTGGAGATTTGCCGTTTTGGAATGTTGCAGATTTCTTACTGTTTGAACCAACAAAATATATATTACATTTATATCACATATTTCACATTGGGAGGATGTCTCAAAGTGCCTAACATTGCTGGGTGGGTATCCGAGCTGGGGGTGGGAGCCGAGGGAGGCGGGAAAGAACAGGAAAACATGCTCAAAGAGATACATTTTGAAACATGTTTTGAACAAGAGGAGGAAACAAGCGAGTTGGATGTACACCAGGATGGAGGTCCAGAAAGTTGGAGCCGAATGGCTAAAAGCCCTCCTGTTGATGGGTTCACAAGCCAGTGTTCACTGAGGAAAGGGAGCGGCTGGGTCAGTGTGGTTGAAGGAGGTTGCAGAAGTAGGGTGGGACAAGACCTTGGAGAGATTTGAATGTGAGAACGAGGATTTTGAAATTAATCTGCTGTGGGATGTTGAGTTAATATTTATCACCAGACTCAGTAACACCCCCTGCCTTCTGATTTATATGCAGCAGGTTGGCTAATTTCCCAATAACACAGCACCATCAGGAAAAGTTTAGGTGCTGAGCCTAGTGGAATTTTGATATCCAGGAGGCAGCCAATGAATCCCAAGATTAGGCAGGCTCAAAACATATGTATATATTGCTACCCATTGCCTGGCAGTCTGTATGTACACAAGTCAATGCACACTACCCATCATATGATGATGAGTGTGCACATACACCACCATGCAAATAGAACCTTCTGGAATGCATTTCTCCCCTCCAGGCATAGAAAGGGCTGATGAAAATCTTCACAAGAACAAATTGTGTGAAAAGCAATTCTCGCTTAATCTAGTCTCGCTGATTGGGAGTCACTCTGAGAGCAAACTATGGAGAAACAACAAAGTTTTCAAAAAGTCATTCAACAATAACTACTGTGTGTAAAGAGAGTGAAGAGATTGAGAGGACATGATGTATTGAAATGAAAGGCACTTAAGGACTAGCATTTTTATGGGCCAGGCTATGTTTAATATTAAAAGACTTGTAGCAGTAGTGACTTAAGCTATATAGCCTCATTGCTAATACATTCTTCACCTCAGAGTATTTTACCTTTGGGAATCCCACCCTAATTCTAAGTCACTGTTCGAGGTTTGAATGATGTTCACCACATCAGACACTTGAGCTGTGCCCGGATTCCCAATGTGTATGAACACATACAACAACAACAACAAGATTCCATTTATAGAGCGCCTTTCACGTCGGGAGGACGTCCCAATGCGCTGTACAGTTGGGTCAGGACCCGAGCAGGGGGGAAATGGTCAGGGTGATGGGAGGGAAGGGAGGGAGCGAGGAGGAGGTAGAGAGTCGAGAGGGGAGCTGAAGGCACGGTCAAAGAGAAAAGTCTTGAGACGGAAAGGGAGGAAGCGAGGCAAAAGCACTGGGGGATAGAGTTCCAGAGCCTAGGGGCTGAGGGCCTGAAGGCCCGGCCACCGATGGTAGGGTGGTTGGGGCGGGGGATGTGGAGCAGACCGGAGCCAGAGGAATTTTTTCCCAAGACCTGTCAATCCTGATGAAGATTGCCTTCTATAGGCCAACTTTGTTATGACACAATGATTTGAATCTCGTTCCCGTGTTGTAATAGGGTCTCATTAAAATATAGCCAGCACGCATGAAGAGGCTTGCAACAGGCTTACAATGAGATTCACTGATATGGTTTAGAGTGGGATTCACTGATGTGGCTTGCAATGAGATTCAATGATATTGTTTGCGGAATGGTCTGCTAAGGCTAGGTGTCTCTTGTTTATTTTACAGGCTTGAAGGCCACCATTATCAGTTCTGCACACTAACAACACACTTAGCACATTGGTAAAAGTTTTATGACATAATAACCTCACAGTAACTTGATACAGGTTAAGTTATGGTGAATATTATTTGGCTTCATTGAACAATAAACATTTCTAATAATTGAGCACTCACCCACTTAATAGTGAAGTCCAATAAGTCCAATAAGTCAGTAATTTATCCTTTCCTGCTGATGAATCAACCTAATGTAAAGTACTAGTGACATTATATTTGAGACATAATATGAAATTCTATTTAAAATTGAATTTTAAAGCTCCCTGATAACCTAGTGGGGAAGTCCATGGGGAAAGTCCTGAGCACAGACCAAAATCAATTAATTGGAAAAATATTTGGGTGCAGATTCATGGGATTACTGGCAACAATCAATTATACAACAAATAGAAATGTGAGTGGAAAATATTGCTTTTTTTTCCCCTTGCCCTTTTCCTTGGTCTTTTTTTTTTTATAAATTTGGTTCAGGATCAACTGGGATTAAAAAGCTAACTAAAGCCTTAGATTGATTTTTCATGATGTTGGATTATGAACCTCCCTTAATTCCTCACAGCAGGATTTGTTGTACTGCATTTTGCAACAAAGGTACCATAGCTTCAGCAGATTTCAACAAAGCATAGCTCAGAAAGATTTTTATCACACTGTATCCCTCAATTCATCAGCTCATCTGTCACAGATGAACCTGTCACAGTAAAGTGCAGTATTGGGTCAGTGATTCCAGGATTATTCAAATATTCATCTTGAAATTAGGTTCAGAAACCATTTATTTTTATAGGCAAATAATCATTGCACATCCATGTACATCGGGATTTTCATCCTGTTTGTGGGGTTTATTTTTTGGTTTGATGAAAGAACGCTATGGGACTGCAGAAACCCTGCAAAAATTGGATCTTATCTTATAAAGAATCAAAGCACCACAAGATGCAATTTAGGAAGGTTGAATGCAAAATATTTATAGAGCCTGACTAGTCAGCTGCAATAACAGCTTTTGCAAAATGTATCTACTGAGAGAGTTTGAATTTCAAGCAAAAGCATTTAAAATATTGTTGATGAAAGGCTGTAATCTATATTTACTGCATGCACATCAATCATTCTACCTACGTATTGGGCATAAATACTAATCTCTCTTGTTTTGGTGGGATTCCGAGTCAAGCTTGTAACACACATTCTGGGTTCAAAAGCAAAATTGTGTTGGCTCCAGAGAAAAACTACAAGGAGAATACAGTTCCAATTGCACTGCATCATATTTTGTGGCAAAAGGATGACTTCATTTTATAAGTAGATCGGTAGACAAAGGAAAAGCCTGAGTTACCATTAAATCATCAATGTAACCAAATAGCATGTGAGAGAGACTGTGGGCAGAATGAAGAGCATTGGCTATTCTATAACATCCATAGATCTGTACCAAAACCAACTACAAAAAATAGAAGGGAATTTCTCCCAGTTCCCTGTGACAATTATCCAAATAAATTGGCCATTAACCTCCGAACTGTTTATAGGACATTGCTATGCTCAAATTGGCTGCTGTGTTCATCTACAAATACACAGTCATGACATTTAACAATATATTTTAAAGCATTTTGAAACATTTTGATGTTGCATATGCTATATAAAATACAAAAATTATTATTATCCTTCAGCATACTCTTAAGTATGGCTCAGCCAATGTCTGCAGTTTTCCACATTAAAAGAAAGCCCGATATTTAAAATAAGAGTTGCTTTGTCTTTATCTCATTCTGATCAGCACATTAATGTGGGTGGTTCACAGTTGTCAATGAGGAAACGTGCCACCTTCTGCTTGTGGAATTCAGTGGCTCTGATGCCTGGTGTCACCTCTTGTGGCTTCATGAGCCTGTTGATGATTTTTTTTCTTTTTGCTAGTTTCTTGATGCAGAATGTAAATTATTAACAACCTCCTCGCAAGGGAAAGAATATTAAAGAGTATGAGGTAAAAGCAGGGAATTGGGATTAGACTGGGATTACAGTGGAGGAGCTAACATTAGTTTAGTTTCAGTGGCTTTTGCCTATGCAGCATTTTTACGAGCCTACAAGTAGATTTTCTCTGAAGTGTTGGGTGCCGTTTGTCCTGTACTAAGGTTGGCTGTTATTTGCCTCCCAAGTTTTATGCACCACATGCTTTTTCAATTATTTATGCCATCGGAAATCCTGCTCCAGTTGTTTTCAAAGGGTCAAATGACTCATTTCTGCCTCGCTAAGCTAATAAAAACAATTAATCCAGTGCTAAATTCATTGGATGGCTTATTTACTGCGAAATTAACACACTTACAAAAGTGGAAAATGATGTGTTATTGCTTCAGTGACATTATGGCTGATTTACTGCTCAAATGTCCTTAATGCTCATATTGCAAACTCCAGACCACAGAGCCTCAGCGCACAAGCATTGACTGCAATGGTAATGTTGTGCAGGTAGATGGACCAATAACTTAGCTTCAGAACCCTGACAAAAAATATGTTCCTTTGGTGTTAATGACTTTATGAGTTCCAGTCAGTCAGACTTACCGGCACCCATTGGGACATGCAATATTCCTGCTGGGATTTTTCATTTGTCTTTTTCCAAGTTACTTTTGATTCTATTTTGGTTTAAGTATCCATTCTCCCCTTTTAATATAGGTTTTTGCAACCTGTACTGAGAGGGAGGGGGAATCAACGTCTATGTAAAGCAACTCTTGATGAACATCTTGTTGAGATTCTGAGATATGTTTACATTCTATTGGCGTTTTAGCAGTTGTGTCTCGTGTACCATTGCTGGGAATTGTTTGGAATGCTTTCAAACCTGTAGCCTGGCTCATTTGGTAGCTCTCTCTACTCTGAGTCTGAAGGTTGTGAGTTCAAGCCCCACGTCAGGACATTGAACTCACATAGTTTAGGTTGATATATTAATGGAGTGCTGGGAGCATGCTGTGTTCCTGGTGGTGCAGTCCTTTGGATGAGTCGTTAAACCGAGAACCTGTCTGCCTGTTCAGCTAGCTGGTAAAGATCTTCACCGCACCACTTGAAAAGGGAAGGGAGTTTCTTCCAGTGTTCTGGCCAACAATCCATCAGATAAAATTGGTCACTCGTTTAGTGATTGTCTCTGGAACATTACTGTCTATGGGATATTACACTGTGCAAATTGGCTGCTGCGGTGGCTATAAATACGGTCATTACGTTTCACAGTAAAAATTTGTGAAGCGCTTTGATATGTCTTGATGACATCATATCAAATGCAAGGCTTCTTGTTATTTATTCTCCCAGCTTCCTGATGATTACTCTTTCATTTTATAGAGCACTCTTTTATTTAGGGACAGAATGATAAAAGGCAGTATAGAAAATGAGTCCAGTTCAATAAAACAAATATAGCAGACCAACTGGCTCAGCCGCTCCCTCCACTCAGCAAACACTGGCCTGCTTCATGTCGCACCACTCATAGATGAATTTGCACAAATCTTGCCTCTGCTTTCTGGAACTCCACGCATAGTGCCTCCGTCTTGCCCATTCTCTCTCACCTCCAAAACCTACCTTAAAACCAATTTGGACGTCTAGAAGACGTGAAAAGCGCTATATCAAATGCAAGGATTATTATTATTATTAATTTCTTCCACCTTGCTTTCAGCCACCTTTTGACACAGTTTGCTCCCCTCCCCCCACTCCGCTCTGGCTCCCACTCAGTTTTGTGAACCAATTTGAGATTTCCTCAGGCTATGACGAACATTTTTGCTGCGTTTCCACATACCAGTTCAAAACTTTCACCTACACTTTCAGATTGGACGCTACATTTGAAAGTATTTTTACAGGCATCCAAATACACAAACTCTTCCCTGCCTCAATCATTGCAATTCCCAACTCAAAGTCTCAACGTCATGGTACGCACTGATTAGTTATGTTTCAGTTGACCACTTCTTTCCATGTCTGCTAATGTCTGTGAACAGCGTTGGACTCTCTCCCCAGTAACTGGTCAAATTCTTCACAATTTTGAGCTTGAAGTCTCATCTGAATGCTGTGCTGTCTCCCTTCAAGTACTGCACCATAGTGTCTGTCTGGTGGTTCAAGTCCTTGCACTCAGCTGCATTCTAACCCAGAGTGTTCCTGATTGAGCCACTCGATTAACATCTGAACAATTAGCCAGTTTTCTCAGAATCCTTCTGAACCCCTCAGAAAAGCACTCGGAAAAACCGTTCAGGATTTCAACATTCACAAAAAACTAAATCTCTTAAAAATGCCGAGCTAATTATTTTGAAATTGTCTCTGGATTCCCAGAGGAGTTGGATCCCCTTCAGTGAATATTATTATTTTTCAGTCAGTGCACACATTCCAATGCAGCATCTCTCACATTTCTATGCAATCTTCAACTGTATCACCTCCCAGGATAAAATGTGCTGTAAAGAGCTAAGTTATGACATGTATGTGGAGTCCTGTAGCTCAGTGGTTAGAGCACTCGCTTTGCAAGTGAGAGACCTGAGTTCAATTCCAGGCAGGGCGAAACCTTGGGCAAGTTTCCTTACTCCACACGCCTAATAATAATCCCTCCAAAACAAAAAAAAACAATAATAAATTGGTCATTTTCAATCTACGACTGTTTGTGGGACATTGCTGTGCGCAATTGGCTGCCGCGTTCGCCCACAAATATACAGTCAATTCACTTTACAGTCTATTCTGTGAAGCGCTTTGGGACGTCCTCCCGACGTGAAAAGCGCTATATCAAATGCAAGGATTATTATTATTATTATTATTATTACCTCTAACTTTGTACTTAGTGTAACTGCAGGGAAGAAGTAAGGAAGTGTATGGTTTGAATGAAGAAGAGAATTTTCTGATTCAAACCATTTGATTGATCCAGAATTCACCTGCTTTGTTTTTTCTAGCACTGGCTGACTGAACTGGAAATCCTCGCCATGATATTTGCAGCTGCTATCCATGACTACGAGCACACAGGAACCACAAACAACTTCCACATCCAGACCAGGTAACAGATGGACAGGCTAGTCCATTTTTCATTAAATTCAATGGCATGAGAAATGCTTTACATTTCATTTACTTAGCAATTTATAGGCTACTGAGAGCAGGAATTCTTCCCACTCGTCTCCTGTTTAACCCTGCAAACCAAAGTTCTAATGGGTGGAGTGTTCCCAGCTGGAAAGCAGCTGATGGGATGTTAGACAGTGCTTTCAAGTATCTAAGCTCCAGCAGTACACCAATGCCTACTCTAGGGTCCCCAAGTCTTGGCTCTTAACTTGAACTTAATACTCTCCAGAATTAGGCAAGCAGGGTGCGTCCCACATGAGAGAATGTGTGCATTCCATTCCAGACACAGTGACATTTCCATGCATATATTGCTTGCATATCTCAAGCTACAACAATAGGCCTTGCACTTCATATACTGCCTTTTATGTCAGGAGGATGTCTCAAAGTACTTCACAGGATTTATTCTAAAGTACAGTGACTGCATTCTATAGGCGAATCCGGTAGACAATTATCACACAGCAGTGTTGCCAAGAGTTATGAAGCAAATTATCAATTTTATCTGGGGGATTGATTATTGGCTAGGACACCAGGAAAAACTTCCTTCTCTTTGAATAGTGTGGTGGGATCTTTAACATCCACCTGAACAGGCAGAGATTGCCTCAGTTTATCTGTCTGGTTTGGATATTCTTATGTATGGTGATGGGTTTTCACATGGACACACGGCAATAAATTTCAGTCCATGAGGTTATTTCTCAAATGTCATTAATTGAGTCCAATGGCCTGGCCTTTACCACCCTTCCTTGCTGTTAATTTTCAGGCGTCCTGTAGCTTAGTGGTTAGAGCACTCATCTCACAAATGAGAGGACATGGGTTTGATTCCAGGGCAGGGCAAAACGTTAGGCAAGTTGTTAGGCAAGTTTCCTTACTCCACATGCCTCTGTTTACGTAACAGTAAGTAAGAACCCGGTTGTTAGTCGATTGCCGCATCGCTTTTCCAGAGGTAATAATCCCTTTTAAAAAAAACATATTTGGTCATTCAATCCACGACTGTTTGTGGAACACTGCTGTGCACAACTGGCTGCCCATTTTGTTTACAAAAATATAGTCAGTTAACTTTACAGTATATTCTGTGAGGGGCTTTGAGAAGATATGATAATGTGCTATATCAAATGCAAGGATTATTATTATTATTAATTACCCTAGCACCTTAATACTTAAATAAATATTTCCTGGCATCCTTCCTAAACTTGCCCTTCACAATCCTAAACTCAGTAATCATACGGCCTTGTTGTATTTGAAAGCAATGTTCTGGGTTTACTTTCTCTATCCCATTACGCCTCTTATATTTGTCTAGAAGGTCCCCTCTGAAAGGTGTCTTTGTGAGGCTGAAGAGCCTGAATCTGACAAACAATCAGATTATGGAAAATACTGTCGTTCTTACTCCTTGGTGTAGAGCATGAACTTTGACGAATTGGTAAAGATTTATTCATGTATATCAAGTATGTGGGAATTAAAATGGTTACGTACCTGTCATCTCATTTTCTTGACACAACGTTAAGATGCTGTCCATTACTTTGTATCGTAGCAATTCCTGTTAGGCAACCGGTTAAGTTGTATTCCTTTAAACTTCAATGATGCTTTAAAATATATTAATTTACTATAAGTCACACCACATTGAAGGAGATGTGAAAGGTGAAAGTCTTTTCTTTGATGTCTAGCTTCAATCGCTATTATGCCCTTCGAGATTGCAGAGCTGAAGCTAATCGCATAGCACCACATTGCTTACAACCCTTCGACTGTATTGGTGAGATTTTATCACAGTAACTAAAGAGAAAATGAGAAACTGGAAAGAAAAACTATTTCACTAAGGGAACTAGCTGACGTATTTCAAATTAATTAAGACTTGATTAGTAATCCACTTCTATAATCTTTTTCAACTGTACCTTTAGTTTTAACAAACTTTCAGTGTATGATTCCTGTGATATAGGCTGGTATCCCATGCAGAATCAATCAGACACTGTGTTCTGTGGTCAACAGTGATAATGCCAGTGGTGGGAAGCTTTTTCTGTTTTTGAGCCAAACAATTGTTGGCCAAGCTATTTCTACACTGGAGATTGTTTCAGTCACTGCTGGGGTGGAGTGGGCAGACAGGTTGGCTTTGACCACACAGAAAATAAATATAGAAGCCTTTTGTTTTTCTGCTCTAGTTTTCAGCCTCTCTGCCCTGAAGGCTCTAAGAATGCCGGAGTACGGTTTCATGGGCACCGATTGTTGCCCTCTGCTACCTTCCTTCTCTTTGTGCTCTGCCTTGTTGCTCGCACTATAGCATCACCACAATAAGGGATTATCAAATCGCAAGTCAGTAATACCACTTAATTGCTCTCTTCTAGACCTTCTATTTCTGAATCTCTATTGCTAGTGTGACAGCTGTCAGCTCTGAGGAAGACTAATTTGCTCCTTCTTTGGAGTCACCATGACCTCTGACCCAGTTCATTCTTGACCTGTCCCTTTCCAGACATCTCTCTTCTAGTTCCTAACTCCTCAGTATGGCTGCTGATAGCTGAGCTTGCCTGGCTCAGTTGAAAGCACTCTCACCTCTGAGTCAGAACGTTTGTGGGTTCAAGCTGCATAGTGGGTTCAACATCAGGGCATTGAGCTCAGAGTTTCGGCTGACGCCATTATAGTACTGGGAAAGCGTTGCATTGTCCGAGAAACCGTTCTTCAGATGAGATATTGAAACAAAACCCCATCTGATTATTTAGTGGATATTAAAGATCCCAGGCCTATTCAAAAAGAGAAAGGAGTTTTTTTCCCATGTCCCGTTCAATAATCCCCCAGAAATTTGGTCATTCACTTCATTGCTGTTTGTAGGTCATTGGTGTGTGCAGATTCACTGTCGAATTCATCTACAAAATACATAGTCACTCCATTCTACAGAAAATCCTGTGAAGCATTTGAGACATCTGAAGGACACGAAAGGCGCTATATCAAATGCAATAATTATTATTCTTTTCTCCTTGGCAAACTGGTCTATTCATTCTGCGTGAGTCAACACGACCTTAGTCTCTCCTGATTTTATTGACATACCCTCTTTTAGTTTTTGTATCTTAAATAACTTCTCTTTATTTCATAGAATCACACAATATAACAACACAGAAGGAGGCCATTCAGCCCATCGTGACAGTGCCGGCTCTTTGGAAGAGCTACCTAATCAGTCCCACTTGCTTGCTCTTTCCCCAAACCCTTGCAAATGTTTCTTCTTCAAGTAGCTATCCAATTTGCATTTGAAAGGGAATTTACCCTAACAATTTGAAATTTACTCTAACAAAATCCCTCATAGACAGATTATTTAGCGATTGTTTGACAGCTAGAGCTCCTTTCATGTTTCTGTTAATCGAATTTCAGAAAATGTTCACAGTCATATCCTAATGCTGTAATCTCAGGAAAAAGTAATTTACACAGTCAGTTTTGCAGTGCAGGCTCCATATAATTTGTTCAGTATTAATATTTGAACAGGGAACAATGATCTCATTAGTATTGTCAAGTAAATTTGTTTGATCTTTTTACTGGCATTACGATCATAGCAAACACATGAAAAAATCACTTTATGTTGGGAGCATAACCTACAGTTCTAAAGTTAAACAATTTAGGTCCATAGGAATTGAAAAGTAAATTTATAAAATGATGCTTTGACTAAAGGTTTAATTGCAACAAACTAAATTTGCTTTCCAAGAGGATTAAATCTTGGACAGAGAGGCACTGTCTTACTTTAACTGGTGTGAACTCTTGTTTCTAATTGAAGGTCTGATTCAGCAATCCTGTACAATGACCACTCAGTACTGGAGAACCATCATGTCAGTGCTGCTTATCGCCTCCTACAGGAGGATGAGGAAATGAACATCCTCTTCAATCTTTCAAAGGATGACTGGAGGTAAGAAACAAGCACTGTACAACCTGGGTGCTTTCTTACAGGACTAATGGAGTAATTGGGTGCTCTGGTGATGCTATTGATGCCTGTTATGCACCCATGGGTACAAAAATTAGCTGCTGTGTCACAGAAACATTGGGATTTCAGATAGTTATCTACAGAGTACGGGTGTAAACGATCCCATTCACGCCCCCTAACATCTGCAGATTTTTTGAATCTGAACATTTTCAAACACCTTGTTTAATGCAGCTTCGCTGGTTAGCTCAATTGGTAAGCGAAACAGGCAATTTGAATGGTTTAATGCTGCAATGGCTGATGACTATCTATAAGGCCACTGTGGAAGGGAAAGGCAAAGGAGCTCATATTTTCCGGTTCAGCAAGTCTTCCTCTTACAGAACTGGGAGAGTATACATCTTATACCATTAGAGTTGGTCTACCGATCAGTTATGGTAGTTTCTTTTGACAAATGTTTTTTGCTTGTTAATGATTCTTGTTGTAACTCAAAACTGGTCGATCAGTAAAGCTCAGAAAAACAGAATAGCCCACAACATAAATTTAAGTAAAATGTAATCATTACAAGAGAATAGTTAACAAGCCTGTTAACCATTGTAGTTACCAGATGAAATGTTATGTTACCCTGTCAAACAGGAAAAACGCAACATTCAAAAGGTTGCCAAATAAGTTAGTACAATGGTAACAATGTAAATGGCAAGAGAAGAAGAAAGGATAAGCAAAGCAATATTTATCAAATGTTACAACCTCATATTATATTCGCCCACAAAACTGTCAGTCAATTCACTTTACAGTATATTCTGTGAAGTGCTTTGAAACGTCTCAAAGATGTGATAAGGCACTATATCAAATGCAAGGATTATTATTATTATAACAGCTACTTTTAAGCAACTTGCAAGATAAAACCAAAAGCCTGGAATGATGTATTAATAAATTATGTTATTCATATTTTATTTATTTAGGCAAATGAAGGTATTTTAAAGTATAATTTCCACTTCATCTCAGACTACAATTCCCATCTCGGAAATTCAAATTGCCTTTAGGTCAATTTTGCCTCTAATTATGTTAAATGGGAAGATGTCGAACATATTACACAGAAAATAGGGCTCATCATTCTTTAACTCCCTGCATCTATCCCTCTGCCTCGCCCCCTCTGTATCTATTTCATATGAAAAAACAACTTCTTGGACTATGAGACATCTCAAAGACATGACTAGGCTTTATATCAAATGCAAGGATTACTATTAGTAGTAGTAGTATGGCCACCACCCCTTCCACCTTCTTCAGCATCAAACACTACCACTTTACAGCACTCTGGGACATTGCCCTACTTGGAGGTTTCTATATAAATATAAGTTGTTGCTTAACAAAATCCCAAATCCAAGACCAAGTGTTGGTATCACCAGAGACATCAGTGTTCGCAATCCACTGTAGAACATAAATTTGGTGACACAAATAAATATTGTTACTGTAAATTCCAATCTCAGTGACTCCTCCCTCTATCCCTCCATCTCACCACCCCCTCTCTATCTTTCTTTAATCCTGTGTGAAAACCCACCTCTTTGACAATGCCTATGGTTACCTGCTCTTCCTCCCTCTCCCTTGGTGTTCTCCCTGTTCGACATTGGACCGTGCCATTGTGAAGTGATATGAGACGTTATCCTATGTGGTGGGAACTACACAGTAGTTGCTGGTGTTGCCCTGCTCAAAACTGCATTTCTACATCTTCACTACGTTGCCTGCCTCCAACCCTGTCTCAAACCTAACATTGCCAAATCGCTCAGTCACCGCTTCACCACCTCCAGAATCGACTTTTCAAATAGCCTCCTCACTGGCACAGCCCACCTCCACCATTCATAAGCTTCCACTGATCCAAACTCTGCTGCAAGTGTCCTTACTCATATAAAGCTACATATGCCCATTTCCCTCATTCTAGCCAGGCTTCACTGTGTCGCCCCCATTATTGGCTGCCAAGTGCCCCACGTGAGTCAGTGGCCCTATTTTACCTCACAATCCTGAGCCTTTCGGATAGCCAGTCCACCGTGGGCCCATTACTTATAAATACAGCACATGAAATTGGGACCCACTAATAATTTTGGCAACAGAGCCACAAATGTCTAATCCAGCTCTCAATCCAGATTTTGGAATCCAGATTTCCCCCTCCACCCCCTGGAATACTTTTAAAAATGATATTCATTCTATTGACCTAGAAAGGATGACCTATTGACTGGACCAGATCCAGATTCAACCCAAAACTTCTAGTGTCACATGAAGTGATTGAGCTACCCTATTGCAGGGATAACAATCTGACATTTAGAGATTTTTAGTCTAACAAAACATTCATTCCTATTTAATGCAACTTTTGGTTCCCTGAGAGCAATTGCTCGGGTTTATCAGAATCCCTTTGTAAATTTTGACATAGGCGTGTAATGTCTTTTAAAATCTCAGTGACCCATCCCTTGGTTGATCCAGCATGTGTCTGATATCAGGTGACATTGGTGGTGATCTTTAGCCTGTATCCAGCAAAGATGGATTCAAGAAAACAGAGTGCAGCTGTCAAGTACTTACTTGAGGAAATGTCTTCATCACATATTAAATCAGATATGTCTGGGTCCTTGAGGTCCTAAGATGTCACCAGTCATACTACTTCAAGATATATTTCCAGTTAGAGGGAGCTTCCCTTGAAAAATGACTGATTGAAGAGGAAAAACACAATCCTTTTCACTTTCTGACAGATGCATTGCCATAGTTAAGTGACTGAAGTGGTTGTATATAACTCAGCTGTGACAGATAAAAGCAAAAATAATAACTACGTTTTGGGGGAGAAATTCCACTAGGGGCTGGACTTATTCTATTTATGCCCATATCATTCTGTCCACTCCCTCTGCTCAGCAGGCTCTGGCCTACTTCACGTCCCCCGCATGGTCAGCCCTACCATCAGCGGTCAGGCGTTCAGCCTCTCAGCCCCCACCCTCTGGAACTCCATCCCACATTCCCTGCGCTTCACTCCCTCACTTGCTTCCTTCAAGTTACGTCTCAAGACCCTCCTCTTCAACTGCGCCTTCAGCCACCCTCCTACCCCTACCCTCCCAGCCTTCCACCCTTCTTGATCCCAATCCACCAGCTGGGGTCCGAATCTCTGACTGTCCTGCACCTTGGGACGTCATCCGGACGTGAAAGGCGTTATACCAATGAAATTTTGTATTGTGTTTTGTATTACACAGCATTTTAGAGCATCCGAAATTTTTCAAATTCTTAAATACAGCCTTAATTTTGAAGCTAATTTTCGGTAAGTTCTTTTAAGAACAATAGAGTAAATCTAGACTGAGTAGAATTTTCCACCTGAAGTTTTAAAGTAAAGTAAATGAAAATCTTGGTATTGCAACAATCTTGAATGTTGCAATGACAATTAAATGAATAAAAATGACTGCTAGAGAGGTAAGAGTGACTATCAGCCTGTAAACTTATCAAACGACACAGAGTGCATCTTAAACCATGGGAGTAAATCTTACATTCATTCTCAGAAGCATTGGTTCTGGCTTTAAAGGTATTATTATCAAGTTTGCAGGGCTATGGGGAGAGAGCGAGGGAGTGGGATTGATTTGGACAGCTCTTTTAAAAGAGCCGGCATAGACACGATGGGCTGAATGGCCTCCTTCTGTGCTGTATAATTTTATGATTCTATGATTATAGTAATATTATCCTTGCATTTGATGTAGCGCTTTTCATGACAGGAGAACATCTCAAAACACCTCACACAATTTTTTTGATGAATCAGCTATCCATCTGGGTCTTGTGAATCAGAAAGATGGAGAGGAGGAGGGGGAGGAGAGTGTGCAGCCTTCTAACACTCTGCTTTTGACATTTCCTGAGTAGATCTCTTTGGATGAATTCAGTGCTCAAGTAACATCGACATTGCTGTTACTCTCTGCTATTCCTGAAGATTCACACCATGATAATAATGCCTTATTTTGACCTGGATTTTTTTCACCTAGGTTTAAAAAAAAGCATAATCTTGATTCTTGCTGTACTGCTGGTCTTGTTCATCAATTTCAACTACTTTCTTCTTGACTATTACTATTTCTTATAGGATAGAATTCCTTTTCACAACTATGTAATGATCTTCAAATGTGTTCATTTTCTTTCTGTTGTCTTATCAGGTGTCAGCTGGGCTCATTTTGGTAGCACTTTCATCTCAAGTCAGAAGCTTGAATGTAGGTTCAAGCCCCATGTCGGGACTTTGAACTCATTGTCCAGACTGACACTCCAGTGCAGTTTTGGAGAATGCTGCATTGTCAGAGTGGCCATCCTTCAGGGAGGTCTCATAGACATTAAAGATGCTATGGCACTATTCAATAAATGAAGGAAATTTTTCACAGTACCCTGACCAACAGTATCCTAGATGAAATTGATCATTTACTTCATGGTGGTTTGTGGGATATTGCTACAAGCAAATTGGCTGCTGAGTTCACCTACAAAATACACAGTCACTGCACTCCACAGTAATTCCTGTGCAGCACTTTGAGGTTTTTGACAACATGACATGCAATGAAATGCAATGCAATGTTGTTATATCCTAGTTTTGCTTCTTGCTTAACTCTTCCGAATACTCTTGTCAAAGCCTCTCTCTCATATAACAGCTGTATATCAGCTGTATAATATCCTCAATCTTCACATCAAATGCCAAGTGCAAGGAGGTCATGGACTTCTTTTCAACCAAAATAAATAATATCCGCCAGGCAGCTTCATCCTCCTGCTTCTTATCACCCACCACCACCCCCTCTCCGTCCCCCTCACCCTCCCCATCATCAGCTCCTACCACGACCCCCATTCTACATTCCTTCCTCCCCATCTCTCCTTCCTCCCTCTCACCCGACGTCACTTCGATGAAACCCACCACCTGCTGTCTCGATCCCCTCCCCGCCAACTTGCCCCCCTCAAAACTGCTGTCATCACACCCCCCCTCAAAAAACTTTCCCTAGATCCCTCAAACCCTAGCCACTATCGCCCTATTTCAAACCTACCCTTCCTCGCCAAAGTCCTAGAACGTGTTGTTGCCAATCTCCGCACACACTTCTCCTCCCACTCCCTCTTTGAACCCCTCCAGTCCGGTTTCCGCCCTGCCCACAGTACAGAGACTGCACTTGTGAAAGTCAGAAACGACATCCTCTCTATCTGTGACCAGGGCTCCCTTTGCCTCCTTGTCCTTCTGGACCTCTCCGCCGCTTTCAACACAGTCGAACACGCCATCCTCCTCCACCGCCTTTCCTCCATCATCCACCTCAGTGAGACTGCACTCGCCAGGTTTGAGTCCTACCTCACGAACTGCCAGCAATACATCTTCACAAACGGATTGTCCTCCCGCTCTCACCCTGTCAGATCGCAGGGGCTGGGTGAGAGCAAATTTCCTTCAGCTAAATGTTGACAAGACAAAAGCCATACTCTTTGGCTCTCGTCAACGTCTTAAATTGCACGGTTCTCACCTCCTCCATCTACCCAACCTCCCCCTAAAACTCTTCGAACCCTTACGCAACCTAGGCGTCAGGTTCGACCCCTAATTATCCTTCCTCCCCCACATCCGGTCCCTCACCAGCACAGCTTTCTTCCACCTCCGACCCATCGCCCATCTCTGCCAATAAATCACTCCAAAAGCCGCCGAACCCTGGTCCATGCCTTTGTCACCTCTCGGCTGGACTATTCCAATGCCCTCTTCACCAGTCTCTCCCCTCCACTACCATTCACAAAATCCAGATCATCTAGAATTCTGCCGCCCGCATTCTTACCCGCACCAAACTCCACTCCCCGATTACCCCAGTCCTTGCCAGACTGCACTGGCTGCCTGTCCCAGAGAGGATCGACTTCAAGATCCTCACTCTTGTCTTCAAATTCCTGCACTCCTCTGCACCCCCTCCCTCTCTGACCTTCTCTCTCCTCACAACAGTGCCCGTTGCCTTCGCTCCACCGGGTCTGGCCTCCTCCTTGTCCCCCGAATCCTCCACTCCACCCTTGGCGGCCGTGCCTTCAGCCATTACGCCCCGAGCTCTGGAACTCCCTTCCTCATTCCCTTCGCCTCGCTCCCTCTCTTCCTATTTTCAGGTCTTGGCTAAAGACCTTTCTTTTTGACCGCGCCTTTGGTTACCTTCCTCCCCCTCCCCCTGGTTCGGCCCCGGGATCCATTATTGTGAAGCGCTCTGAGACGCTATATAAATCCAAGTTGTTGTTGTTGTTTCTTTTGAACTTGCAGAAAATATTCACATTTGTTAGCTTTATAAAATTTAGATTGGAAAAGAAACACAATCAACTTTAAATATTGCAGTTTTAGGCTTTCTCATAAGCACTCATTGATGCATTTGCCCATTTTATCTTCTTCTTTCACTGAGGCTTGTCAGATATGTGGGCGAAGGTTGATGTTCCTTCATACTTATTATCTCTCCTGTAATGTGTAGATTGCTAAAGAAAGTCACAAGACTTATCGTTTTCAATGGTGAAAAGATTGGGAGTAGATATATTAATAAGCACATGGTTATTTGTTATTGTGAGGGTTTATGCTTTAAAAGAGAGAAAATTGATTAGGAATGAGAAAAATCAATTTTGCTTATCTAACCATTCTTTATCCCTTATTAGAGTGAAATGTTAGGCACGTTTCCACACACACCTCTGTTTACCAGCAGTAAGTAGGAACCAGTAAATTAGTCGATTGGAGGATTGCTTTTCCGGAGATAATAATCCCTTCAAAAAAATTTTAAAAAATTATTTGGTGATTGAATCCACTACTATTCGTGGGACACTGCTGTGCTAAATTGTTTCGCCTACAAAATATGAAGTTAATTCACTTTACAGTATATCCTGTAAAGCACTTTGGTCCTGCATGCAAAGACCTGTTGGGATTCTTCCCCTTGTCCGATGTAGTGAAGGAGAATATGTCTATGGATAGAGACAGCAAAGAATAAGAGTAAAATGATGTTTCTCGGACTGGGAAGATGTAAATATTTGTGTGCCACTGGTGTCAGTATTATGACCCCACCCACCACAGACCACTGTAGAACAACACTCACTGCATCTTTGCCCACAAAACATGCAGTCAGTCCACTTAATGTATACCCTGTGAAGTGTTTTGAGTTGCCAAAATACGTCACAGTGTGAAAGACACTATACCAACTTTTAAAATATTTATTATTGGTATTCTTGTTATATTCACTGTCTGCATACATTAACAATCAATATTTTGGGATTGAAGGAACCATATCAAAATTTAATGTTAGTATCACATTGGGTGATAGATTTTGATAGCTGTTGCCCTTATTAAGGAATAGTTGTTAACTATTAAGCTCTGTTGAAACAAAATCATGAAGTGCCTGAGCATGTTAAAAATTAAAATTTCTGGTCTTTTCAAACTGTGAAAAGGTTAAGTGAAAACATACCCTTGTTATAGGGTATGGAAAGCAAGCAGGAGAATGCCAAAGAGTTCATGTTCAGAGAAATGCCATTGGATTCTAATGGCCTGGATGTTTGAACCATTTTCATACAATATTGTATCAAAGTAAATTATGCTTAAATGCACAACAGTCTCAGGATGTAATATTTTACACTAATACGTACACATGTATCACATAATAGGTAATATAGTAGAAAGACAACATAGTGTTATACTTTAAGATTAATTATATAATGCAATACAGTAAAAGATTATATATCTTGCATTCAGTGTTGAGGCTATTCTGTTCCATTCATTAAAGACAGTTAATTTCTGCTGTATGCTGCACCATTCTGCTTGTTTGCTAAGTTATGTCAATTTATTGCTGTGACCTTATCAATAAATAACCATATAATTTTAATATAATTTTTTATATAATGTAATCATTAATAATTTAAAGTTTCAGCACAATTATTTATAAGCACACGATGATTAATTTGTTACATTTTGTAAATGGAAGTTAATCCATTCCCCCTCTCCCCCAGGTGATTTTGCACTTGAACAAGTAGACAAAGAAAACTCACAGACACTGAGCATTGCAGCGTTCACACATGTGAAGGAACAATCTCTGGTGACTCACTATGACCAGAGAAGTGTCTATCTTCTTACTGTTTTTGCAGTTCCATTGTTTTAGTTTTCAATTCAGAACTGATAGAATTAACTTCAAAGCCAGTAAATCACTGCTGCTTCATAAACTGGTTTTAAAGTCATGCAGAATGGACTGAAAGTAAGAGCTTGACATCGTCTAATGAAATTCTTGTAAATCTAATGTCAAATCTACTTCAGCACTTTACTTGATTATTTGTTGAAGGCTTTCAAGACAGAAGCAATTCTATGCCTCTCTGTGTAATTGAAAAGGAAATCCCTAATGGATTCATCCGGTAGCAATAGCATCTTTATGCACTGACGCTACTCTTCTGTTTAATTTGTTGAAACCCTGTCTGGGATTTGTGGTAAAGACAATGAATGACACTTTTAAAAGGAAAGGTTGACCCTATTTGGGGGCTGGGAGGTGTTTCATGAAATGTCAGGAATAATTAGCTGGTTGTGCTGGACTGGACTGATGAGAAACAGCTCCTGGTTTGTTCTTTTTGCCTAAAGGGAACTGAGGGCGCTGGTGATTGAGATGGTCTTGGCCACTGACATGTCCTGCCACTTTCAACAAATCAAAGCAATGAAGAACTCCTTGCAGCAACCGGAGGGGTGAGTCATCACTCGACATTTTTCAGCTCTTGTGCCTTCACTTTGATGATTGAATGGTAAGCGATTTCTGTAGGATATAATTCATTACACCTAAAAAGCAATCACTGCACCTGAAAGTGCTTTCGGAGTGGTCTGGTAACTATTGATAAACAATCGCACTCTCTAACAGTTTCAGAGCTTCAACACTTCTGACCGCTACTTGAACTCTCTCTTTCTGAATGACTTTCTGCAGGTTTCAACAACAACAACCACAAAATTACATCTGGAAAGCGCCTTTCATGTCGGGAGGACGTCACAAGGCGCTGAACAGTCGGGGATCAGGACCCGAGCGTGGGGTGGGGGGGGCAGGGTTGGGATGAGGAAGGGCAGAGAGTGTAGGAGGGTGGCCGAAGGCACGGTCGAAAAGGAGGGTCTTGAGTCGTGCCTTAAAGGAGGCAAGGGAGGGAGTGAGGTGAAGGGATTGTGGGATGGAGTTCCAATTTGTGGGGCCAGAGAGGCTGAAAGCCCGGCTGCCGATAGTAGGGCGGGTCGGGAAGTAGACATGGAGCAGGCCAGAACCTGCTGAACGGAGGGTGCGGACAGGTTGATAGGGAGTTGGTTAGCAGGTCAATGAGGTAGGAGGAGGCAAGGCCATGGAGGGCCTTGAAAGTGAGGACGAGAATTTCGAACTCTGTCCTCTGAGGGATGGGGAGCCAGTGGAGCTGGGTGAGGGTGGGGTTGATGGGGTCATGGAGCCTGGTGCGGGAGAGGACATGAGCTTGGAGTTTGGGATGATCTGCAGATTGTGGAGGGAAGAGTTGGGGAGGCCGATATGCAGGAAGTTTCCGTAGTCGAGCCTTGAGGTGACGAGTGTGTGTATGAATGCCAATACGCTACATGGAGTATTACATGTTGGTGGCAATTCAAAAAGGGTATGCTGGAAGAAACATTGACAGTCTCGCCTAATACGAGGCTCTTGTGCTGTTTGCTGAGTACCGGGCTTTTTTGTTCTTTTGAGTACAATAGAGCCATTGGGGGAGGAACAGTTGGATTCAAGCTCCACCAGTGTTAAGCTCTCTGAAATCCTACCTTCATGAAGGCCGCTATATAAGTGCAAGTTGTTCTTGTTATAGTTTGGTCAACTCATTTCTGACATTGCTATTCTTTTTACACTTGCTGAGCTCCTCTTCCTTTTTCTTCCTTTAAATGTGGTTATACTGTATAGTTTTGGGCAGCCGATATCTGACGCATGCGGAAACCCATCACCGTGCTTAAGAATATGTAAACCAAACTGAGAGTTCCAAGTATCCCATTTAAACACAGGAATTTCCCTGTATCTGAAATGGAATCCTCACTCTTTCCTTGAAAGGAAGCACCCTGTTTTACATCATTCCAAGAGCCAAAGATTAGGGATCTCCCTGGCTTGGTATTCAACCTTGTAGGGCTCCGAGATGCTTTACTGTGTGAAGGGTGCAATATAAATGCAGTTGTAACTTTTCACAGACAGTAAAATAGTACTTTAGCTTCAGATTGTTCACGTCACAAACATCCAGCTTCTAATAACGTGACCCAACAAATAACTAGTTGGCTTGAAGACAACTATAATACTTTTGCTTAGGAAATGCAGTGGCATGTAACAACGTTTGGATGGAGTGAAAAAATCACCTTTTCATATGTTAAGTGATAATTATCACATTTTTGGACAACTTGCTTCTGAGATTGTTGATAACTGGTGAACACTTCTCCATCCCCTCCCCAGGCCAGCCATTTAGGTGGCCTGTTGCATCTTTGAACATGATGGATCATTGTATTTCAGAGCTGATTTGTGGATAACCAGATTAACTCATCTGTAACAAGTTGTGAGGTATTTTCAAAAAAATTTCACAAACAATCCACATTCACTATAAAGAGTGGTAAGTGGTCATATTTTAGGTTTTTCATATTCTTTAATTTCTGGTTCAGTTCAGTAACTTTCATCTTTGTGCTGGTTTTCAGGATCGACAAAGCTAAAGCCTTATCTCTGTTGTTGCACACGGCTGATATCAGCCACCCAGCCAAAGCCTGGGATCTGCACAATCGTTGGACTATGGCATTGCTGGAGGAGTTTTTCAGACAGGTGTGAACCTCATTTACTTATATCTTAGAAAGTTTAGATAATTATCAGTCGCTCTACATTTTCATTCTATCATTAACACAAAGCAGTGAGTTCAATAGCAACAGAAAGAAGTGATTTCAGGTGGCACCTTATAAAGTATATACGATTTTAAATAGGGTTGGGAAAGGAAACATTGGACAATACTTTCAGATGCACTGAGACAGATGAACAAGAGGACACAGGTTTAGCGATGCAAAAGGCAAATTCAAGACAAACACCAGAAAGTATTTCTTTCCCCAGAGATTAATTAACAATTAGAATGTTACCAGCAAGGGTGGTTCAGGACGGGATCCCGGACTCATTTGAAAAACAGCTTGTGATGGAGGAGGGTGGGTATTCTGGGAAGATGAGACCAAAGGACCTTCTTCATCCAAACCTTGCTTGTGATCTTGTAAACAAGAAAGAACACAAGAGCATTGAAATTCCTCCTGTGGGTAAGTAGTATCTTTACCCTAAAATTGGATTTTCCTGTTATAAACTACAGGCTGATAAATTGAGGTGTACCATCAGCGTTAATCTGAGGACACTGAATCATGCCAATGATATACTGCAATATAGTTGTAAGAGAGGTAGGAGATCTCGCATGTTTCCCCAGTCAATGTGAATATGCTGTGTGTAAGCAACTTATTCCATTGAAACAAGAAATCTTTGAAATTCTGTTTCACCTTCAGTGCTCGAGTCCACAGAGATTCTTCAATATTACTTATTCATTCCACGGAGACATGAGTGAGACCATTGTAATTTGATGCATTTTAATTCCATCCTTTTCTCTTATTCTAGGGTGACAAAGAAGCAGAACTGGGACTTATTTTCTCTCCACTCTGTGATCGCAAGTCAACCATGGTAGCTCAATCTCAAATAGGTAAGAAGCTCACATATATATAATAATAATAATCCTTGCATTTGATATAGCACTTTTCATGTCTTCTAGACGTCTCAAAGCGCTTCACAGAATTAACTTTATATCTGTGGGTGAAACGCTGCAGCCAATTATGCACAGCAGTGTCCCACAAACAGTCGTGGATTGAAGTGACCAATTTTATAATTTTTTTTCTCAAGGGATTATTATGAGGTGTGTGGAGTAAGGGAACTTGCCCAAGGTTTCGCGGAGCGGAGCCTAGTGCAGGAAAAAACACGAGCTGCAGAGTTCTGGATAGGCTGCATCTTTGGAGGGAAAAGGCAGATAATCTGGCGAGCAGGGGGTTGGCATTTACTTTATCTCCAAAGGCTTGCCTATCTTTAGAGGCAGTAGTTTACATACAGAGTTGCTTACTTTCACCTGTATAATTACATCAAGACATCCCCACAGTTGTGCAACCTCAATGGACATAAAGCCATTTCTGGCTTTATATGTACCTCTGTACCTTACTGCAGTTTTAACACAGACCAATCACAGATATTAACACTATTAGTGGAGCCCTGTGTCATAGTGTTTAGACCACTCGCCTCACAAGCGAGAGGACCTGGGCATGATTCCCGGCAGGGCCAAACACACATTGGGCAACTTTCCTTACTCCACACGCCTCTGTTTATCCAGCAATAAGTGGGAACCAGCTTGTTAGTCGATTGGTGGATCAGTTTTACGGGGATAATAATCCCTTAAAAGAAATATTTGGTCACTCAATCAACGACTGTTTGTAGGACACTGCTGTGCACAATTGGCTACTGTGTTTCACCGACAAAATATACAGTCAATTCACTTCACAGCATATTCTGTGAAGTGTTTTGGGATGTCTCAAAGATGTGATAAGGTGCTATATCAAATGCAAGGATTATTATTATTGTAATAATAATATTGCCTAAAACCAACCACCTGCTCCCTTGACCCCATCCCCACTCCACTCCTTATCTCCCAGCTCCACTTTCTTGCCCCACATATCACTGACATCATCAACCTGTCCCTCTCCTCTGGCTCTGTCCCCATTCCATTAAAAACTGCCACCATCACGCCCACCCTGAAAAAACCCTCCCTTGATGCGTCGCAGCTATCAAGCTACCGGCCCATCTCTAACCTCCCCTTTCTCTCCAAGGTCTTGGAAAGAGTTGTCGCCTCCCAACTGCGCTCTTTCCTTTCCACCCATTCTCTTTTCGAACCCCTTCAGTCAGGTTTCCGTGCTGCCCATAGCACAGAAACTGCCCTGGTCAAGGTCACCAATGATATCCTGACCATCTGTGACCAGGGCTCCCTCTGTCTCCTCGTCCTCCTCGACCTATCGGCAGCATTCGATACGGTCGACCACGCTATCCTACTCCACCGCTTGTCCTCCCACCTCAACCTTCAAGGCACTGTCCTTGAATGGTTTAGGTCGTACCTTTCTCACCGTCTTCACTTTGTCTCGACGAATGGCTTCTCCTCCACCCCCCGTACTGTCTCATGTGGTGTCCCTCAGGGCTCTGTCCTCGGTCCCCTCCTCTTCACCCTCTATATGCTCCCCCTCGGTGACATCATCCGCAGACATGGAGTTAACTTCCACATGTATGCGGATGACACCCAACTCTACCTTTCCTCCTCTACTCTCAACTCCACGACCACCGATGTCCTGACAGCTGCCTGTCCGACATCGAGTCCTGGACGAGAGACAACTTTCTTCAGCTCAACGTGCGAAAAACCGAGGCCCTCCTGATTGGCTCACGTCAGCGCCTCCGCACCTCAGGCGCTGACACCATCAGCATCCAAGGCTGCACTCTCCACCTCTCAAAGCCAGTCAGGAACCTCGGCGTTTTGTTCGACCCTGAGCTGTCCTTTCTCCCTCACATCCGCACCACAACTGGCACCGCCTTCCATCACCTCCGGAACATCGCCAGACTACGGCACTACCTCACCCCTCACGCTGCTGAAACCCTGGTCCACGCCTTTGTCACCTCAAGGCTGGACTATGGGAACTCTCTCCTCGCCGGCCTTCCCGCCACCTCCCTCCACAAGCTGCAGGTCATTCAGAACTCTGCAGCTCGTGTACTGTCCCGCACCAGGCTTCGGGACCACATCACTCCCACCCTCGCTCGCCTCCACTGGCTCCCCATCCCCCAGAGGATTGATTTCAAGATCCTCATCCTCACCTACAAGGCCATTCACGGCCTTGCTCCCTCCTACCTCTCCAACCTACTATCCCCCTACCTACCTGCCCGTACCCTCCGTTCCTCTGGCTCCGGTCTGCTCCACGTCCCCCGCCCCAACCGCCCTACCATCGGTGGTCGGGCCTTCAGCCTCTCAGCCCCCAGGCTCTGGAACTCCATCCCCCAGTGCCTTCGCCTTGCTTCCTCCCTTTCCTCCTTCAAGGCCGGTCTCAAAACCTTTCTCTTTGACCGTGCCTTCAGCTCCCCTCTCGACTCTCTTCCCCCTCCTCGCTCCCTCCCTTCCCTCCCCTCACCATTTCCCCCTCCTTGCTCCCTCCCTTCCCTCCCCTCACCATTTCCCCCCTCCTTGCTCCCTCCCTTCCCTCCCCTCACCCTGACCATTTCCCCCCTGCTCAGGTCATGACCCAACTGTGCAGCGCCTTGGGACGTCCTCCTGACGTGAAAGGCGCTTTATAAATGGAATCTTGTTGTTGTTGTTGTTGTTGTTGTATGTAATATTGAACCAGATCTTGGTGTATTGGAGGTAATTGGAGATCTGACTCTAAATAAGATTTTGCCAGCTCCAGGTCTGATATTTGATATTCAATGGCATTGACACATTTTTGATAGCAAAGAGCAAAAGTGGGTCACTGAGTGTAAGTTTGCCCCAGGACCCACTGTTATTGTCCAATAACAATATTTGCTGAGCTACTTCTTGTGACCACGTAGCTTGTGGAATAGAGTTTGTTATTTGCTACATGCCATCTATCAATACAGGGGATAATCAACCCCAGCAGACTTAATGAAGTAAGTCCCAGACCAAGTTGAGATACTGACCTGCGTCATATGTCACAACACAGTGATGCCCGCTGTGCAGCCAGAGAACTGACTCAAATAGTTTAAAGTCACTGAGTACATTAACTCTGACACAGCACATGCGGCATCTCTCAGCATACTGGCACTAGTGGCAGCAGGCAAAACAGCCTTTGAGTCTTTTATTTATCGCTTGGCAAAAGAGATTTTACTGTCTCAAAGTTGCACTATAGAATTAATAGGTATGCCCTAATGCTCGGGGAGAGTGTGGTTCCAGTAATACAAACAGTTGGTACTTTATTGTTCAAACAGAGACAGGAAGAGTAAAGAAAAAAACACGCTTTAAAATAATCATTTCAGGATTTATCAGTCAGGGCTGCGTTCATTACTTTGTTTGTGTCAGGGATTAGTGGAGAGAATGCACTGGGCTGGCACAAACTGAATGGTTCCTGTGGAGCCTGTTCCCCCTTTGTTAACACTGGCATCACTGAGATCACACTGTTTAGATGGTAGTGGAGACACAGCAATTCCATTTCGTCAACAATGCAATCTGGTGCTGGAGCTTTATGTGGTGGATCATCTCAAAGAGCTTTATATAAACTTTCATTTATATAATACCCTTTGCTCAGTATAGTGTCTGAAAGCACTGAAAGTTGCGGAGTTGGATGCTGAGTAAAGAAGAAGGTACAGTAATAGTGTAGTAACGGTGTATTTTGTGAGTGAAGGCAACAGCCAGCTTACCCCCAACAATGTCCCAAAAAGCAATGAACTGAATGACCAATTTTATTTGCGGGATTGTTGGCCAGGACATTAGGAGAAACTTCCTCTTCTTTTTGAATCATATTAGTAATAGTATTAACAGTCACATGGACAGACAGACGGGACCTCGGTTTAAATGTCTAATTAGAAAGAATTAGTCCAGACCTTGAGCTCAGTATCACAATGTTGCCCAGTGGTGATGCTTGACAAGTAAAGACTGCTTCAATGGTGTGACCTCCACCATGACTCTGAGAATTAAGCCTGAAGCTGCTTGTGGCAGCCTTTGCATTGTCAGCTGGAGTAGTGGTTGGCAAGTTACCAGTTTAGCTGTTGTTTTGGTGAGTCACTCTGGTTTCCTTTGAACCTGCTCTCCTATTGCTGTCAGCTCTGCAGGTTGACAGTGAAATGCACAAATGCAATAAGTTCCCAACTACACATGTCAATGATGTGATAGTTATCATCGGTGATAATTCATTCTCAAACTGGTTCTCTGCAGTTGTTCAAAAAGAACTGACTAGTTTCCAGATTTAAGACTGAAGTTGAGGATTTTTCACAATTTTGCTGATCTTAAATATTAAGGCAACATGATCTAAACAAGCTTAGACTAGTTGACATTTCTGGCCTCAGAAAATAGTTAGTTAATGATTGCAGCGAGAGACAGGCGACAGATGGTGAAATTCTGTTCCTGGGAAGTTTAAAAGAAACAAAAGTGTGGGTGATAAAGTAAGATGGTGTGAAATTCCACTGCAACTCATTAGATACAAGGAAGAGGGGGAGGGGGGAGATGATACTTTTTTTCTCTAGATCAAGATAATAACATGGGTTAAAGCTAAAGAGGAACAGAGATCCTTTCATGATTCACTTTGAGCATTCTTTGAAAGATTAGTTTAATGTGTTCTTATAGCAGGGGGGAAACTGTTTACTCAACTTAATCTACTGAAAGGAAATGTCTGGAATGGCATATATTAACCTTCTCATGATCCAGCCTCTTCTGCCATTCAATTAGCTGGGAATAGTTAGCACGAAACATTTGTAACCTTGGAGATGAGTCTGTTGCATTAGGACTTTAGCAGCTTGTGAATATATTATGTTCTGCTCTCGATTCAGCGGTTGAATTTAAAATGGGAGCAGTATGACTTCTCACACAGCAAAAGCAGTAATCGCTTTGGGTAAGGCACGAATGCTGAAAGAACAGTTGTCGTATGTCTTTCAGGTTTTATTGATTTCATTGTGGAACCGACGTTTTCTGTGCTGACTGATATGTCGGAGAAGATTGTAACTCCTCTTATAGATGAAGCCTCCCGCTCCGGTGGCACTGGATTCCGACGTTCCAGGTTAGTCACACTTTGGTAAAACTGCATATGGTAGTACTTAGGTCAGGCCATGCTGCACCAAAAGTACTGCATACAATTCTGGTTGCCATGACATAAGGCCTTAGAATTATTGCAGAGCAGAGCAATGATGATGATCCCCAGTATGAGCAACTATTAAATAAGCTAAGAAACGTCAGTTTTGAGAGAAGGTATCTCAAAGGGACCTCATAAAGGTGTATAACATTTTAAACCAGTTTGCTGTAAAGCAAACCCAAAACAGTACTTTAGGATGAACCAAGCCAGTAGAATAGGAAAGGTTGCAATGGGAAATTTCAGGACAGATACCAGGAGNTTTTTTCTTTACCCAGAGGATATCACTGCCTGGAACAGGTTGCCAGGGAGGGTGGGTGAGGCCAAGATATTGGGCTCATTTAAGAAACAGCTTGATGGGATGGGAGGACAGTAGACTGGGTATTTTGGAGGAATGAGATCAGATAGGCCAAAGGACCTTCTTGGGCATTGTGATGTACAAAGGACCTCCTTGGGCATTGTGATGTACAAAACTATTAGAAACTTCCATTTGCCTTTACCATAGAAATTTACACACAAAAGTAGACCAGTCAACATATTGTGCCTGGTTCTCTCAAAGAGCAAGCCATTTAGTCCCATTCTCCTGCTTTTTTCCCACAACCTGAAAGCAACAACAAGAACAAGATTACATTTGTATAGCGCCTTTCAACGTCCCAAGGCGCTGGACAGAGTACAGCATTTCAGAAGGCGCAACCCATTACTGAAACAAAGGCAGCATTGGATGCCAGATTAATTTGAATATCAAGTGGCTTTGGGTTCAACTAAACGTCGCACAGAGAAATCAGTCTAGCTTTCTCTCTGAGCTGACTGCGGAGGCGAGCTGGCCCCTGGGGGGAAACACGTGGTATAGAACCACTGTTTGTCAAGTATGTTTCATCAGAGCTGTGTGTGTTTATCCAGCTCACCAGAGATGGGCTCGTTCATTAGAAGCCATGCCAGGTAGAACAGTTAAACATAATGTTTCTCTCAGCAAGAGAGCAATCTGATGGCGGAGGTGCAGTGACAGATTATGCAGTGTAGGGAATTAAGAGAAGGAAAAAACTGAATAAAAATAAGATTATGAAAATGTGTTGACGCAACAACGAAGGATAATGAGCTGTAAATTCAGTTCAACACTGATAAAAAAAATCTAAATCTTTCAATGCAATTATGTTCCTTTTATTCTCTGGCTTCTGGATGCAACTTGCAGGTTGCTGGGATTGAGAACTGAACAAGCAACCTCCTCCCTCGGGCTCTGGTTACACTGCTCTATAACCTGCCTCCAGGAGGTGCAAGAGAAGGATGCAAGTTCACTCATCCTCTTGTGTCTCTTCACATCAATGGCAGGGGAATACATCCGCTCAGCACCTACCACTTAGAATCCCACATCACCCTGTACAATACACACAGTACATCACACAATACCCTGTACAATAGGGATCATTGCTCTTTCTGATCTATATTAATGATCTGGACCTGGATAAAGGGAGCACAATTTCCAAATTTGCAGACAATACTAAGCTAGGAAAAGTAGGTGAGGAGGATAGCACCAGACTCCAAGAGGACTTAGACAGATTGGTAAAATGAGCAAAAACGTGGCAGATGAGATTTAATGTGGAGAAATGTGAAGTGTTGCATTTTGGTAGGAAGAATGAGGCGAGGCAATATAAGCTAGATGGTGCAATCTTAGAGGGGGCAAATGAACAGAGACCTGGGGGTCCACATAAGCAAATTTCTGAAGGTGGCAGGACAGGTAAATAACGCTGTGAAAAAAGCATACGGGATACTAGCTTTTATAAATAGGTGCATAGAATTCAAAAGTCAGGAGGTTATGTTGAATATTTATAAAACGCTGGTTAGGCCTCAGTTGGAGTACTGCTTTCAGTTCTGGGCACCTCACTTTAGGAAAGATGTTAGGGCATTGGAGAGAGTGTAAAGGAGGTTTACCAGGATGGTACCAGGAATGAAAGACCTTAGTTATGAGGAGAGGTTAGCGAAACTAGGATTATTCTCCCTAGAGCAGAGAAGATTAAGAGGGGATTTAATAGAGGTTTTCAACATCATGAGAAGATTTGATAGGTTGAACTAGTAAAAACTGTTTCCACTGGCATGTGGGTCAGTAACCCAAGGACACCGATTTAAGATAGTTGTCAAAAGAAACAGAGGAGAAGTTAGGAAAAAAAAATTCACCCAGCAAGTTGTTCGGATCTGGAATGCATTACCTGAAAGCGTATTGGAAGCTGATTCAATAACAACTTTTAAGAGAGAAATAGATGGGTATTTGGGGAGGACAAGATTCCAGGGCTACGGAGAGAAAGCGGGCCAGTGGGATTAAGATGGATTGCTCTTTTCTGAGCCGGTGCAAACATTTTGGGCCAAATGGCCTCTTTCTGTGCTGTATGATTCTATGATTCTATGAATACACAGTCCATCACACAATACTCTGTTCAATACACAGTCCGCCACACAATACTCTGTACAATACACAATCCATCCTGACCATTTGCAAAGTCCAGGCAGTGAGGTGCATTTTTTGAAAACGAGGGAAAGTTTACAGTGAGGGAGGGCTCTGGCCTATGCTGAGCATCCTGGAGACCATGTTGGTTTCACAGCGTGTATAATAATAATAATAATAATCCTTGCATTTGATGTAGCGCTTTTCACGTCGGGAGGACGTCCCAAAGCACTTCACAGAACACACTGTAAAGTGAATTGACTGTATATTTGTGGGCGAATGCAGCAGCCAATTGCGCACAGCAGTGACCCACAAACAGTCGTGGATTGAAAATGACCAATTTTATTATTGTTTTTGGTTTTAGAGGGATTATTATTAGGCATGTGGAGTAAGGAAACTTGCCCAAGGTTTCACCCTGTCTGGAATTGAACTCAGGTCTCTCACTTGCAAAGTGAGTGCTCTAACCACTGAGCTACAAGACTCAACTTGAGTATTACACTTGAGTATCCCAAGTATTACTAAAGTAAATTATGTCTATTTACTGAAGCTCCTTACATGAGGACCTGGATGAAGCAGTAGGTGCTGAGTTAGCCTGGTACACAGCATTGGACTTGGACCTCTAGAATATCAAGGTGGCTAGCACATCACAAGCTATTCTGTAAAGGTCCTCCCATGATACTGAAGACAGATGCCCGCCAGGTAGCTGTTGAGGAAACTCTGAGGCTCCTGATGAAAGCTGCTGGAAGGCATTACCTGTAGGCCAAGTTTGTAGAAACAGGTTTGTACATTCACAGGGAAGGTAAGCAGGGTCTCCATGTAGCTGAACTGGCTCCAATGTGGCATATTTGGCAATGGAATGTCGGAATTGAGCCAGCCCTCCGTGGCGGTCTCAGTTGTCCAGTTCTTGAGCCAGGCGGGTTCACAGTATTCCAGGGCCTGCTGATGGCTCATGAGCAGGACTTAGAAAGGCAGACCAGTCTCTGGTGGCAGGGACTCTTCCCACTCAGCTCTCAGAGCCCTACCATGTAGGGTGATCCTAGCTGGACAGGTAACAGGAAAGCTTGCCAGGTTGTGTCCTCAATGGCAACCAATGCGATTTTAGTTGGTCAGACTCCAGCAGTACCCCAATGCACATTCTGTGGTCCCCAAACCTTGGCTCTTGCCAACCTGTGCCTAATACTTTCCAGAATTTGATAAGTAGGATGTGACCCTGTAGGGAGAGGGTGTGCATTCCAGACTGACTAAAAAATTGCAGTATGTTACTCAGTATCCTGCACACTGAATAATACAATGCCCACCAGAAACTACATCACACTATACCCTGCACAATGTATTGCATACATATGCATTAGGTTTTCTGGAAGAATGATTGAAGCCAGGACACTGGACTTATTTAAGAAATAGCTTGATGCTATAATACAAACATGATAGGATCGTTATTCCAGAAAAATAGGAACAATGAGCCAAAGGGAATGCAGTACCCAGCACAATCCCACAGCATAATCCAATAGTGCTGTCTTGCATAGTTACACTTCAATCCTGGGGTCACACTAATCCCTGCAATATAACTGGGGCATACATCTCGAAAAAATGTAACCAGTGCTCCTTCTTGCATTACAGTTCTCCGTTAACCACTTCAATGTTATGAGGACATATCAAACCAGGTCCATTCATAAGAAACCTTTTCCACTGTCAGAAACGATGAAGCTACAGGCAGACTTTACTGTTCTTTGTGGACTCTGCCCTTTCTTTCGGGTGTTTTCTCCAGTTTGTCCTCACAAGCACAGGTCAGCATTGAATATACTATTTGAGGTCATTGGATCAATGGTCCTTCTAACCCACCACACTTCTTCATGTTGCATTTGTGTCTAGTCTGAACAACATTGCCACCACCGAAGTCAAACGGTCCAGTGTGAAGAGCACAGGGTCGGAAGGAAGTGCCTCAATGAATTGCTCCCTGCTCACTGTGGATGTGAAGAACTTTAAAAGTAGCTGGAACGAACTGTTACAACAAAATCGCGAGAGATGGAAGGCTCAACATACCAAAGGTCAGCTGGGGAGGGGATGCTACACAAACCGTGTTTTGCTTTGAACTCTTACAGTGTAGAGATGTCTTAAAGCGCATGACAGGGATTTGCTGGAAAGTGTAGTGACTGTAATTGTAGGCAAACATGGTAACCAATTTGCACATAACAATTTCCTGTAAATGACAAAATTTATCCAGAGGATCTTTAATGTCCATTTAAATAAACAGTTGGGAACTCAGTTTAACATCTATTTCATCAGTGCAGTCTGGGCAATGAGGGGAGTGACTTCAGAGCAGTTGTACTTCCCTGAGGGGAAATGCCTGGCCTCTTGTTAGCCACCCGAGGAGATGCTTGAGATCAGACAACCACTGGGGTGAGAATCTCAGGATTAAACACGAACACTAGATGACTCAGCACTTACATTAGTGCTTCACTGCCAGTTTGATAAGATCTTAACTCTCCTAGAAGTATTAGAGTTATTAGATACTTAAGGTGAAGACTGGTTTCACTACTGAGCAGAGGCTGTAAGTCTGATTCCAGGCTTTAGGAGCACTATTGTGTTGGAGCTGCAGTCTTTTAGATGAAGCACTAAAATTGAGGTCTCGCCTCCATGTCTTTGTGAGAAATAAAGATCCCTCTGTAGGATTATGGTGCAGTAGCAAATAAGAGATGTAGAAACAGCTACCAAACCCTAAAAGTTGGTATTACAACAACAAGCATTTATATAGCACCTTTTGTATAAGATAATGTCTTGGAGCACTTTACAAAGGTGGGGTCAGACCCTGAGTGGGGGAATAGGGGGGGTGGGGGTGGAGATGACTAGGTAGGGTCAAAAAGGCAGGTTTAAAGGTGGGATTTAATCAGATAGCAGAAGGGTCGGGGGGCGTGGGCAGTGAGAGATTGCAACCACTTTTTAGTGCGTTGTACCTGCCCATCAAAAAAAATCACTGTGTGATCACTGTGGATCTAGTTTTGAAAGAATTCCTCCTGCGCAGAAAAGTCAACCAAATAGAAAACCTTGAATTCTGAGACCATTGGACAACTTAGCCTTGTGTTGACTGAACACAGCTTCCAAATTTTATTTGTTGCTACCACTTAAAGTGATGGGTTGGACATGAACAGCCGTATTGTGACTTTTTCCCCTATCAAGCAGAAACCTGCTGGTCCTGAACAAGTGTCTCACTTCCTAGAGTCCGCATTGTGACCAAGCTAACGTGGGATAACTCATCCATGGCACACCGCTGGTTAATACCTGTTATTCTAAATCTTCTGCTGATGTAAACGTAATATTGTTCATTGTTGTAATATTAGGATTTGTTTCAATAGAACGGTGCTTGTGACAAATCCTTTAAGAAACTGCAAGCCTTGGGAGATTGGAGTTTCCCTGGATGTGCTGTCTGTCCAGAGCTTCCATCCATGTTCTGCAGATATTTGAATCATTTGTTTCACTAATTAGATACAGAAGAAAAGGTCAGAAGAGAAGCTATAGAAAATATCAAGCAAGCGTCTAAGGAAATCGTGGGGAATGACGAAACAGCAGAGCAGGAGGACAAAGGACAAGCGACTGAACAGGGAAATGACAAAGAGGAAAAACACTCAAAAGACAATGATAGTAATAACAAGCAAACCCATAATACCACCAATGACTGTGAGTCCAAGGAGCAAGAAAGCCAGTCTGAAAGAGAGAAAGATTCTGATCACAGTAGTACAACAGAGGAGGCATCACAGCTTGTACAGAATGGTGAGTCAAAGCCTCTTTCAAGTATTTAAATACCTACTAAATATCTGTGTCAGTTCTGTTGCCACACTTTTTGTATCACTTGTCTGAATAGTCCTGTTAAGATCACAGAGTTTGGTCTACTTCCCATTGCTATGGTAATGGTAACTCCCATTACATTTCTTAGTATTCCTGAAATATAAAAGAGTTAGACAAGGTGTTTTGGACTCCGCCCTTGCTACTGCAACAGAGTAACTTATTCTTAGTGAAAGATGTTTTGGAAATGCAGTGCTGATATTTATTTCTTCCCTTCTCTCCCTGCGTAAAAGTGCCTGGGCTCTGGTCAGTGTTGTCTCAGCATTGTCAGCTGAGATCAGAAACTCACCTATGTTGGTGAATTCATGATCTTTCACTGCATGTGTCAATGCTCCAGCTCTCCAGCATGTCAGGGCTCCACTGTAGTTTGATTTGCAAGTTGTGTAAACCATGTGTACAGAACGAATTGCTGATGCCTTTAAATAGGTAATTAACCACTAACAAAAAGGATTCCAGATCTTAGTCCCAATTCTCTATGTTTGGGAAATTTACTGCAGTGTATATAGATATATTATAGTATTATATTTATTGTTTGCATTTATATTTATAATTGGGTTTTATTTTGCTTTACAACATTAGAGTTGTTACAAGAGTGGAATAACAAATTTGCCACATTAAATAAACTGGGCAGAAAATCCCAGATACCATCATCCATTGATGTTCATCAAAACGAAAAGGTTTTTCACTGGATTGGGGTCAGTGAATCCCATTGTGTACCGTGGCCCTTGCAAACCAATTGAAGGGTCACCTTTTTCATGAAACAGTTTGGAACATAGGAACAGGAGCAGGCCATTCAGCCTCTCCAGCCTGTTTAGCCAGTCTAAAAGATCATGGCTGATCTGTACCTCAACTCGAATTACCAGCCCTTGTCCCATATCCCTCGATACCCTTACCTAACAGAAATCTATCCACCTGCCTTTTGTTTGGCTCAAACGACTTTTGTTTCTTCACAATATATCATGCCGAAGCACAACATTGATTCACTTGCATGTCATGTCACTATGATAGAAATGAATCACCTCTTTTTTTTCCTTCTGGATAGATAGCTTGCCAACAGTGTGCACAACAGCAAGCTGAAGTGTTTTAGCTGGTTAAGCTCCAACAACAATGATTTGGATATAAATAGCACCTCACACAGGGAGGCATCTCAGAGGGCTTCAATACCCCCAAAGTGCACACTTTGCAGTGCTCAAGCCTTGACTGTAACTGTGCCTAGCACTCTCTGGGATTATGTGAGTAGGGTACATTCCTCTGGGAAGAGAGTGCACACTCTAGTCCAGACAAATGGAAATTCCCATGCTTACATGGAACTCTGCCAAGTTTGGATACTGTTAAACATGGCGGTGAGTTTTTGCACATGGCTGACCAAAAAAAAGAGAAATGTTTACTCTTTCTTAAACAGAGAAGAAGGTTCACCAAAGATTTTCATCCTTGGTAATGGACTTTTAATATCTATAAATCCTTTTTTCTAGTGATTTAAACATTAGAAAGAATTCCATTCCTCTCATTGTCCTGGTGCCATCACATTTTATCTTTTATATGCATTTGTATCTGTTTATTTGCTATTTTGAATATAAGGTTTCTCCTGGTGTCCGGGTCAACAATCCCCTAATAAAATTGGCCATTCACTTCATGATTGTTTATAGGACATTCCTGTGCTCTAATTCACCAATATACACATCACTACACTTTATAGTACATGGTTCCTCTTCCTGATCAAGATCCAGTGACCCATATGGAAAAGTACAATTGGTGACATTGGATGAGAACAGGGTGAGGTTTGATTGACATGCCTCACGTCGGGAGGATGTCCCAAGGCGCTGGACAGTTGGGTTGGGACCCAAGCAGGGGGGAAATGGTCAGGGTGAGGGGAGGGAAGGGAGGGAGGGAGCGAGGAGGGGGTAGAGAGTCGAGAGGGGAGGTGAAGGCACGGTTGAAGAGAAAGGTCTTGAGACCGGCCTTGAAGGAGGAAAGGGAGGAAGCAAGGTGAAGGCACTGGGGATAAAGAGATAAAGTGTGAGCCTGGAGAGGACGTTAGCGGGATTTGGCAAATGGCACAGTCACAGAGGCTTTTAGGCAGAAATTCAAAATAGAAAGGGATTCAGAAAAAGTGCTGCCACATTCACCTACAACTACAATCACTATAATTTGAAAGAAATTCCTGTGCACTTTGTGACATTTCAATAACATGATAAGGTGCTATATAATCCTTGCATTTGATATAGTCCCTGTCACTTTGTTGATACTTCTCAAAGAACTTCACAGAACATACTCTAAAGTGAATTGACTATATATTTTCTTGGCAAATCTCGGCATCCAATTGTGCACAGCAAATGCTATTTGAAATTATGCATTAGTATTATTATTAATAATAATGCTAATTGCCATATCGGTTCATGGTAACAACAACAGCAACTTGAATTTATATAGCGCCCTTCACTTGGGGTAGCGTCCTGGAGCATTTGACAGTGGTGGAATCTGACAACAAGCCAGAGTAAGAGGGAGGGGGGAGGTGACCGTAAGCACGATCAAAAAGGAAGGTCTTTGAAGGTGGTGAGGGGTAAGGAGGAGGGATTGAGGGAGAGAATTCCAGAGTTTCGGGGCGTAGTTGCCAAAGGCATGGCCACCGATGGTGGGACAGAGGTGGTCGGAGCCAAACAAGTGGAGGCAACGGATGGTGGAGTAAGCAGATCAGAAAGGTACAGAGATGCAAAAGCATGAAGGACACAATGGTAATCAATGATTGAGTTACAGTGGGTCAAGCTTTATTTTGATCAATTCCTTTCTTTGCGTTTTTATAGCAAAGCAAGATATCATCCAGATAAATATGACTAACTCTCATATTTTCAAACTGTCAGACCAGACCTTTCTTCTCTTTTGAGTTAAGGTAGAAACTCTGGTCTTTTTCAGATGGTTCTTTGGGTCACTACTTTATACCACATTTGACAATATCATTTCTGGGAAATAAATGTTTGATATTTTCTAATCACATAAAGCAGTTTATTAGAGTTTAAGTTTTCATGGTTGTCAAATTTCATAAAAGCAACTTTTGAAACTGAGTGCCTTCATTATTGGTTTAGTCATTTTGAAACCGGTGATTTATAATTCTTACCAAAATCTTGCTTCTGGGTTTATTATCATCTCATCCTCCTTTATTGGAAAATAAATGGCATTTTATATTCCACCACAAAGCATCATCTGTGTTGAAAAAGCAAATCGACTTCTTTACTTACTTTGAAGATGCAGAATTTTGCTCTGTGACTCACGAACCCTTGTTCTGTAATTATTGCTTTTATTCACCGATGTGTGGACTAACCATTTCATAATAATAATCTTTGCATTTCATATTGCTTATTTGATGTTGGGAGGACATTTCAAAGCACTTCCCAGGATTGAGAACGTAAGAATTGCTAGATGAAAAAAGACCAAGGTCAATCCAGTTTGCCTTCCACATCTTGGTAGTCACAGTCACTTGTCGTATCCCAAACTATATACTATAGACCACGATACTGTTTCCTAAAATAAATCTATCTCATTTGCTTTTGAAAGAATCAACAATTTAATTTGCTTTTGAAGGAAAGAAATTCTGATCAGTTTTGCAGAATCATATAATGTTGTTTTGCACCTGCCTGTAAACACACAAGTACTCAGAGAGACACAGATCAGCTGATCACATTGCCTGTAAGAACAACACAACTGTCAGTTCAGACTTTACCAGCAATGAAGAGCTAATCCAGATCTTCATTGAAAACGTGTAACCTTTGTACACTAGAGCTTCCACTTAAGCAGCGTTCATATCCCCAAAGCAAATGTTATTGCACAATGTAGCTGAGTCTCCATGCTGACATATTGAGTTCCAAAATGTGATTTAAATTTAGAAATAATGCAATGATTAGGAATGCACCTGAAAGTATGGGGTGAGACCATCACCCCTTTCCCCCACCGTTCTCAATGCCAAGGTACATAAAATCATGTTACACCTTCAGATTTCAGCTAATAGATCATGGCTGACCAGCAATTGAATGCGTGACTTGGCTTCACAAACCTCTGGTGCATCCACATTCTAATGAATGTATTCAACAACAACTTGTACTTATATAGCGTACTCCACCCTGGGTAGTGTCTCCGAGCGCCTAACAGTGGCAGAGCCTGACTCCGAGCCAGGGGCAGGGGGGAGATGGCCAAAAGCACGGTCGAAGAGGAAAGTTTTCAGGCGGGACCTAAAAGAGGGAGAGGGGGGGCAAGGCAGAGGGATTGAGGGAGAGCGTTCCAGAGTTTTGGGGCGTAGTGCCTGAAAGTGCAACCTCCAATGGTGGGGCGGAGGGTGTGAGGGACGAGCAGGAGACCTGTGCCAGTCGAGGAGAGGCGGTGGATTGGGGAGTGAGGAGATCGGAGAGTTAGAGAGGTGCCAGGGAGTGTGTGGGTTTGAACATGAGTGTGAGGATCTTGAAGTCGATCCGTTCGGTAATGGGGAGCCAGTGAAGCCCGGCCAGAACTGGTGAGATGTGGGTACAGTGTGTGGTCCGGGTCAGGATGCGGGCAGCAGAGTTTTGAATGAGCTGGATCTTTTGAATGGTGAAGCTGGGGAGACCAGCAAGGTCCTTGTTTATAATTCGCAGTAACATAGTACTGTGTGGCCGCATTATCACACGCATCTTGATAGAGCTGATTCACAGTTGGAATGTAGACTACATTCAGTGTGTGTACACAGTGCTTTCTGGCAGGCTGTCACCCTAAAGTGGCGGACTTCCTGGTCATTTGGTCGGAGCCAACAGCATTTCCTGTGCAATAGCAGCACACAGGAAGTGATGTCAGCAGAGACTTGATGACCCGGAAATCAGATATTTTAGCTATTTGCATGCTAAAAATGGCCACCAGGTCACTGCTGACATCAGTGATGTTACTGATGCCCTGATGACCCTGGTATTGGACTTATTTTAGCGCTAGAAATGCCCAGCACACATGCACAGTGAAAAGTGCTATTGTGATCTTACCTTAGCATTTTTCGTGGAGTCCTGTAGCTCAGTGGTTAGAGCACTCGCTTTGCAAGCGAGAGACCTGAGTTCAATTCCAGACAGAGGGCGAAACCTTGGGCAAGTTTCCTTACTCCACACAGAGCCTAATAATAATCCCTCCAAAACCAAAAACAATAATAAATTGGTCATTTTCAATCTACAACTGTTTGTGGGACATTGCTGTGCGCAATTGGCTGCCGCGTTCGCCCACAAATATACAGTCAATTCACTTTACAGTGTGTTCTGTGAAGCGCTTTGGGATGTCCTCCCGACGTGAAAAGCGCTATATCAAATGCAAGGATTATTATTATTATTATTATTTTAGGCATCTTAGCATTTTCTGCATATAAGAACTCTGTTTGGTTTGGATACTCTTAAGCATGGTGATGGGTTTCTGTAAGTGTCAGACACCCGGCTGTCCCCCCCAAAAAGTTGTTTTTAACTACTGTTTATAATCGTTGAATGCTCTTTCATTTTTAATACCATTTACAACTGTTTCTGCACTACTAAAAAATTCAAAACATCAATTTTCATTGCATTTTGCTGAATATTTATTGATGTTTAATTCCAGGAGAGGTGAACAATGGATCTGAGCAAAATGAGAACTCCAGTGAAGGATGTGACCAGGCAAAATCAGAAGGTAAGTGTGCTATTTGTATCATTATTCTGCAGATGCATACTATAATTTCCCATTGTCATCTATGACTGTATAAACATATAAAAGCACTCTAAATATCAATGTGCTGAATCTTCATTGGAAACCACTTAAATTAACATTTGGAGGGTGAGCAGGTGGGTGAAAAGGGATAACGAAATGTGTGTTTCATCTCCAAATACAGAGTAGAGACGCGGCATTAATAAGATTTGTTTGAAATACCTGGGACTGTAGTTTATTTTAATGATATTTGTGGCTGGGTTATCTATTGTCACAGCAGAGATGATGCACAATGCATAACTTGTTCAAATGATTCCCCTTTATCTCTTTGAACTCTGAATCGCAAGGCGGAATTTCAATGGGTTCTGAATGTCACTGTGCCTTGTTCAAATTATCGGCACTGGACTGCAATGCCACTGAGTGTTCCCTGCCGCCACCGTCCTTTTTATTGTTGAATAGATAGTTGGCTTTAGAATAAAATTGGAGTAGCTATGTTTTGCTGTTTCTCGTAAATTGTGAATCATTAAAAGGTAATGTTTGAATTGAATGTCGAAGAATTATTCTTTTTGCCATTTTTGAACACTTTTGCAACATAAATGATAAAACACTCCCACAATTATGTGCCATTAAATTAAATTGTAATGTACTTAGCTATAATTACACATGACTGACGATGCATGATGATTGAATACAGATTGCTGAAATTATTGAATCCTTTTGGACTATGTTTAGGAAGCTAATGTCTCAAACAGATGTTGAAATTGAGTATTGGGCCCCATGAGTATGGGGCTATTTTGTTGAGTTTGTGCAATTGACTACATTGAACTGATATTGGATAAAGAATTTGTCATAAATCATTGTACCCTTTAGGTTCCTGTTTTTGCCTGATATGAGTTCATTTTTATGAATACTAAAAGTTAAGTAACTGCTCTTCTCAAGATGCACATTGTGGAGTCCTGTAGCTCAATGGGTAGAGCACTCGCTTTGCAAGCGAGAGACCTGAGTTCAATTCCAGGCAGGGCGAAACCTTGGGCAAGTTTCCTTACTCCACACGCCTAATAATAATCCCTCCAAAAAATCCCAAAACAATAATAAATTGGTCATTTTCAATCCACGACTGTTTGTAGGACATTGCTGTGCGCAATTGGCTGCCGCGTTCGCCCACAAATATACAGTCAATTCACTTTACAGTGTGTTCTGTGAAGCGCTTTGGGACGTCCTCCCTACGTGAAAAGCGCTATATCAAATGTGAGGATTATTATTATTATTATTATTATCAGGGTGTTTGCATTATATTGTGATATATCCTTGTTTTCACTTGAAAGTACCTTATAGTAATTATTAGCAATGTTTGCAGTTGGATCACAGGTCTATAATCATTCTGTGGTGCGCGGATAATTGGCCAAAATTGATACAATTTACCAATTCTTTAATTCATCAATACTGAGCCTCGGGACTTCCTCTCGATGTGAAAGGCACTATAAAATGTAATTTTGTATTTGCATTGTATTTCAACAAGAAGGAAGTGGAAGTCTAAAGGAATGCTGTTTAGAGATGAGCACTACACTGATTAATGCCCTCTATGCTGCAATGTTCTCCTAGCAGTAACTAGAAAAGAGTGATCACTGCAGACAAACAAACTTAGAAGATAGCAACAACTGGCATTCATATTGAGCGTTTCATGTAGACTGAACATCTCAATGCACTTAACAAGTATAACTCGGAGCATTGAACAGGGAGGGAAAAAAAAGAGAATAAAGGATATTGACCAAAAACACAGCTGAGAGAGTTTTGAAGGCAGCGGCAAGAAAGTGAGGTGAAGCAATTTGGGACAATACGTTCTCATGTCTGATCCAGGTTTGTGCTGAGTTAGTTGATCTTAGATCCCTTCAAATCCTTTTAACGTGTCATCCCCTCTCTACCTATTGCACCTCCTCCAAGTCAATTCTACTGCCTGTACATTCTGCTCTCTGATTCTGGTCTGCCACTTGTTTTTCCCTCCTACTATTGACGGCCCAGTTTTATCCATTATGCTCTTGACTCTTCCAAAATCGCTTCACCTCACTTAGGCAGAGAGCCCAAGGACAACAAAATTGACTTTAATAGGAACATAGGAAAACAGGAATGGGAAGAGACCATTAAGCCCATCGAGCCTTTTCCCACAATTTCTTGCATCTGGCAGATTTTCAAATCCAATGCTCTGCCCTTTCAGCCTAAAACAACTTTAATACCTCTATTATCCAAGTATCTGTCTCTTTTAAACATCCCAATTCATTACAATCACCATAGCTTTCTGGGTCAGAACATAATACATCTTCACAACCCTCTTTGTAAGAAGCACTTTTAACATGACTGCTTTGTATATTGGTTACTATGGATTTAATAAATCTATGAGAAGTTTGACTGCATGTAGTACGTAAATAATTTCAAACATATCAAGTGATCTACAGTACTGTAAATATTTTTTTCCTTATTCGATGTGCCTTCCTATTAATACACGCAGGGCTGCTTCACCAGAATAAGACTATCACTCCTCTTCATGTAATGCTATGTACAAGATCATTGGTCTAGATCATGAAGTCCCTTCGGTCCACTTGATCCCATCCTTCAGTATATCCACCTTATCATCCTCCTATTACAGAATTGATGTTTGTAAATGATTCCTGGGTCTTGACCTCAACCACCCTTCATGATAACCTGTTCCAGTCGTTAATTACACTCTGGGTAACAAAATACTTGCTGGTGTCTGTCCTGAAATTACCCTTTGCATCTCTAAATGTAAGTCCTATTATTCTACTGCCTTCGTGCATCCAAAACAATGTTTTCAATCCCATTTAAAATTATGTACATCTATGAAAGGTCCCCATGTGACATCTCCTTTTAAGACCGAAGAGCAGTAGCTTGTCTAATCGGTGCTTATAGTTCATTCCTCTAACGTAGATCATTCTGTTTTTTGTCCTCTGCACTGCCTCTAGGGCTTGGGCTGCCCCTTATGTCAAGCCGACCAGAACTGTATGCTGTACTCTAGGTATGGTCTGTGTCAATTGATTTGGCAATACAGCTCAGCGTCCTGTTTGCCTTGTTTCATTCCCTGTTTATGTGTGGTTTGGTTCTAGTGCAGTTGGAAACAAGGAGAGTCTATCATGCAATGTCTGATGTCTGCAGTGACATTTCTCGTGAGGTTTGTAATATAAGCTGCATGTTAAAAAAAATTCACAAGAAAGCAAACACCACATGATGTACCCCAATTTGAGTATTAATCAGACTGTTCTGTGATGAGGTTTAGTATTGTTATTACTGTGACCTTTCTTGGATTTTTTTTTTTAATTCATTCATTGTGACCAGATGTAATCTCCTTGAAGTATTTTGTATGTGGTCGATACCACATAAATTAAACAATAGCTGGAGGAGTGTTTATAAAAGACATGACAAATTCCCAGCCAGTAGATATTTGGGTAGAATTTGTCTATCAAGAGATATATTCCATTCTGTGTTATTTCACAATTATAGATTTCTTCCATTGTGTAGCATATGGTAGAACATGTGTAACCCACAGCCTGTATAATGTTGTTCAATTCATATAGGAACATACAAAAACAGGAACAGGAGGAGGCCTTTCAGCCCATCGAGCATGTATCACCAGTTAGAGTTTGGTTTAGATCTTAGAGTTTAGATCTTTTGATCCCTATACCCTGCCTTTTCACCACATGCCTTAAAACCTCTACCACCCTAGTATCTGCCATTCTTTTTTTTAACATCCCTATTGATTCTATCTCTACAGCTTTCTGGAGTATAAATATGGGCATTGTGCAGTGCAACTTCTCTTAACTTTTACAGAAACTGTGTGAAGTACTTTGAGAAGTTCTGGACATTATGGGCACTATATCAAATACAAGTCTTATTATTTTTTGAATTATTAATATTAATAAATGCTTAAATGGACTCCAGATTCTCCAGCTATAGGACACATTGATCCTAAAATGCATACAGTCAAAACTTTTGTTTTAAAGAATGTAGATTGGCCAAAGTCTGTATTTTAAGTTGTTATGCATCCAAGCTCAGGAGAATATGAGCAATGATCAACTCTTGTCAATCAAATAGATAAGAAGCCAGAGGTTGAGGTGCTCCCTGGCACAAGAGACATTACTGATTGTCAGTAATACTTCAGGCTTGAGGGGCAAGTGCATCTTATTTTCCGTTGATCGGTATATTTCCTGACCTTGCGCAAGAGCTTATCATGTGAAATCCATCATAAACTCACAGTTGATAAATTCACCAATCAGATCTGCTCCCCCCACCAGTCCTGTTATATTTACAGCCATTCACGGAATGTTAGTTAACCTCTTGAACTCCAGTAGTGCATTTCCATATAATAAGATACAATTCATTTGTAATGATTTAAAGTTTAATATTCTTGTTCTTAAAGCTTCTTATTCTGTGGCTATAGATCAGAGATGAGTGCAGCAGTGGTGAGATTGGTTTATTCTTTGCAGAGAAGATGAATTTCTATTTGTGATGAATTTCTATCTATGCATAGAAAACAATTTTGTAGGATTGTGTGAGGTCACTGTGAGTTCTATAAGAACATAAACCAAAAACACCCACATTGAAGGGCTTCGAGCTGAACGGTTGTCAATTGTTCAAGTTTCATTTTATTCACATTTTCTGCGCAACTGTACAATGATTAGAACAATACAATATCTTCTCTTGGATTATTTCCCTATTTCCTGTGGTGTTGACAGCATCACTCTTCATGGATGCATTCTACACCTCACAGACGCAATGCAGAAGCTTGGGGTGCTGTTCAACCCTCAACTGTCCTTCATACCCCACATCTGTACCATGACTCTCTTTGTTTTTTCCCACCTTCGCAACATTGCCTGGTTTCACCACAGTATCTCACCACAGGCCACCAAGACCCTCATCCACGTGTTCATCACATCCAGGTTCGACTAGGATGTGATGAACACATGGACGACGGTCTT